AACATTTCATTTTTATCATGAAAAATTATTTATTCTTCGACAAAACCAACAAACAAACAAACAAATGACAACACATAATATTATGGTAGTCAAAAAAAAAGAAAAAAAAAAAATTTCCAATTCTCCAAATCTTTCATCGATGGTGATAAATTTATATTTTTCATTCGAATCAAAGATCAATAAAAATAAAAAGTTAAAATTTTCAAAGAAAAAGTTTATAAAATTTGAAAAAACTTTTTTTCCCATTGCTCATTGGTAACTTATAAAAAAATGGTGATAAAAATATCAGTAAAGTTTTATCATATACAACTACTGTCGTCAATTAATAAATACTTCAAGTGCCTAGATACTGTATATCGATTTTTTTTCTTTTGCTTTTTGGTTTCAGCCAATGAAAAATAAAACAATCAGATCAATTCCTAAACCTTTTAATCAACATAATATTCTTATCATTCTTAATTATTCATTAATTATAGAAACAATAAAATGTTTCATTTCATAATCAAAATTCCAAAGAATGGTAACATTTTTTTTACAACAATAAAAAATCTCTACCAAAAATGAATATTTACTCGATCAATTCTTGCTTTTTTTTCCATTGAAACAAATACACATACATAGAAGCTAAAAATGGAAAAAAAGTTTTAATTTGATTTTTTTGCCACATTCATTATCATCATCATCATCATCATCATTATTGATCATGAGATTAAAATCCATATTTTTTTATGACAATAATAATATTTGCACTAAAATTGGAATAACCATATTGATTGATTGATTGATGATTTTTAATGACTTTGTTGTTCTTGGAAAAAAAGAAAATTTTTCTTTTATCTAAAATATTGATTGCTGTGAATAATTATGAAAAAAAACGAAAAAAAATCATTTTTTATCAACCAAAATTCTTTTAAATGACAATAGAATTTTTTTTTTTGAAAAGAATTTTATAATTTTATTCAAGTTCAGACATTAAGTTCTGTGTGTTGATGGTCCATATACAGAATTTTTTTCTCATTGGTAAGAGAATTTTTGTTTTTGTATTTTTTTAATCTAAAATTTAACTTTTTTTTGTTGTTTCATTCATTGCCACCACAAATCATTGGATAAATTCAACATTCAAGTTCTACAAGTGAAAATTAATCAAAAAACATAATGTGTCCACAGAAATTATTGCCCAAAAAATTTCAATACAATCGTTTGGAAGAAATATTTGAACATGGATTTCGATATTGGAAATATTTTAGTTTTCGTATGGAATTCACATTGATTGATTATGTTAATAATCATATACCACATACATATCAAACATTTAAACGTCCATTATTGATCACTATGAATGCATGGATTAGCATCATATATTTAACAGTATTGACCATTTTCCCTGATTGCAGTCTATTGATTAGTCTTAAACATATTGAACAAATGATCAAATTTGAAGGATCAAATCTAATGACCATGGATATATTGATTGGATGTGCATTTGTTGAATGGATGTGGTTTCACATGTTCAATGATGTATTACATTATCATTGTTCATTGATAGATTTTCTTATTAAAAGTAATGATAATAATATTAGTGGACAATTACGACCAGAAAATCGTCGTTATCTAATCAATCTATATGCCATTACAAATTCATTGGCCAATTATTTTTATTTCATTGTTATAATGGGCATGATTTATGTGTTTATAATCTATACTATTTCTTCATGTCAACTATTTATTGATGATCATATCAATATTTTTCAATTAATTTTAAGCATACCATTAACTTTAATGGTAATTGCATATGTATCATGTATGTTGGGACAAATATTTCTTTCAATCAATTTTTTACTACTTTTAATAGAATATTTCAGAATACGAATGAAACAATTATATGAATCATCGTTGATTATATCGAATATTCAAAGATCAATACGTTTTGGTCAATTTTTATGGCAACGATTTTGTAATGTTTATGTGAAATTATATTATGAAACATCAAGATTAAATAATACTATTCGTATTGCGTTATTTAGTTTAGAAATGATATCCAAATCATCCATCATGATTGCTTGTGTATTCTATAGTAGACAAACACAAATGAATATAATGAATATGACAGTAATTTTAGCATTAATATCAGCATTTGGTTATACTACTTGTCTTTATTCACGTGTTTCCATAATACCATCATATAATCAACATTGTATAAAATTATTACATAAATCAATTGCAAGAACACAATGGCTGAATAGATCTCGATCAAAAACATCATTGATAAATGAATCAATAATCAATAGACAAAATTGTTCACAAAATCATCGTCATTCAATGCGTAGAAATCATTTCATACAAACAATGTCTGTCAACCAATTTGGTTTCCATTGTGGTCAGATGTTTTTCATTACAAAATTTCGTTATATTCAATTATTCATCATGAATTTCATATTAATCTTAAAATTTTATAAAAAAACTTGTTTATGAAACCAACCAGATTTGAAAAAAAAATTGATTTCTATTCTCAAATGTTTGATTTTTATAAAATAAAAATTTTAAGAAAATGACTTTATGAAACATGCCAATTGTCATAATATTTATGAAAGTTTTTAAACCACTTGCAATTATAAATAACGTTAATTAATAATTACCGTCAAACCAAAGTAATCAAGGTTTTAAGAAAAGATTTTAAATTCCAGAAGAAGATGAATTCTAAATAAATTTATTGATCTAAAAAAATGAATAGTGATTATCGTAATCATTTTCCTCAATTGATTGTTAAGCAAATGGTGTAATTGATTATTTAGGCCGGAAATTTTTTTCATAGTGTTTCGTTGTTCATTTTTTTTATTTTCGAGATTTTTTTCATTCTTCTTTTCACTACCATATCATTCGGAAATTCTAATTTTGATTTTTTTTTTTCATTCTTCTTTTCACTACCATATCATTCATTCTAATGTCATATGTTTCTTTTATTTCGGTGCAGAATAAATGTTATCATGAAGATAAATTTGGCACGTTTTGGACAACGATTCCATTTATATAAACAAATATGTATGCAGAAAATATTTGATCAAGGTTTCGAACATTGGAAACGATATTCATTTCGTTGGGAATTTTCACTTGATGATTATCGTAATCATAAAATCTCGTACACATATCATGCATTCAAACGTTCCATTTGGATGTCTGTCTATGCATGGTCAGCAATTCTTTATCTTTCAATTATGGTTTTTTATCCAAATAATCCTATAATGATAAGCCGTTTGGATTTTGAACAAATGATGAATACAGAACGTATGGATATTTTTTCTATTCAGTTAATCTTAGTATTTATCATGCTAGAATGGTTATGGATAAAAATATTACGTAGTTTACTTCAATATCGTTTACCATTCATGGATTTTCTTCTGAAAAAATCAATTATTGATCAAGAAAAACAATTTAAACCAAAAAATCTTCAATATCTTTACCATATGTACATCGTTACAGATGTGATTGTCACGATTTCATATATAATCATAAAGATTGAATTATTAATAGTGATCATTATTTATGCCTACTTTAATTATGGTCTTTATCAATCATTCCATATCAATATTATTCAATCGTTCATCAGTGTTTCGTTGTTCATTCTATGGATGATGCATGCAATCCAAATGATGGGACAATTATTCATGTCACTCAATTTTTTGGTATTTTTAATTGAATACTTGAAAAGTTTGTATTGAACAATTATATGAAAGATTCACTGATCAACGGAGATCATTTGATCAACAGATCCGGCAAAATGATTGGAATCAATTTCAATATGAATATGTAGATTTATATACTGAAATTGCACAATTGAATCGAACTGCTAGAGTGGTTCTTTTGTGTTTGGAAGTAATTTCAAAAACATCAATCATTTCGGCTTGTATATTCTATAGTAGACAGTCTTTTTATAGTATATTCACTATATTCATATTGTTATCACTTGTTTCGATATTTTGTTTAACTAATGGACTTTATTCAAGAATTGCTCATCTACCATCAGGTAATCAACGATGTGCAAAATTTATATTACAAAATATGGCCCGAACACAATGTTCAATGGTTGTCGATACAAAAACATCGATACATCATAGCTACAGATATTTGATTAAATCATCGCTTTTCGTTCAGACAATGACTAATAATCGATTTGGATTCACCTGTGGTCAGGTGTTTTTCATTACAAAATTTCGTTATATTCAAATATTCATTATGAATTTTGTATTAATCTTAAAATTTTATAAAAAAATTTCTAAATGGGAAAAAAACTAACTAAACTATCATTAAGTGAATAAAATAAAAAATTGCTTTCAATGAAAGAAAATTAACCGAAATATCTCAGTGGCACTGGTCAGAATCTGTTATTGTCATGCGACTTTTTTTTCTGTCTGTTGTTTTCATTGATTGAATTTTTTCCTCCGTTTATAAATCAATTTGGAAGTAGGATGGAAAAAAAAGTTTTCATTGTTCATAAACAATGAACAATTTCTCAGAAAAGTTTTTTCATCATTATTTTCATCACAATTCTTATTATTATGACCTTTGTCAAATAAAATTCTATTTCCGATTTTTTTTCTGGTTACATACAAACATAGAAATAATAGATTCAATATCCGGTCACAGAATGTTAAATACCTGTCATCCAAAAAAAAAAAAATGACCAATAAAAATAAATGAAAGATTGAATAACAAATTATAATGATAATTGGTGAAGGAAAAACTACTCGAAAATCATAGACATATTTGCCGCTGATTTATTCATCCATTTATATTACATTGGAATTTTCATTTTCATTTTTTTTATGACAAAAGAAAAACAATTTCAAAACAAAAATGATTCATCAACCAAATGCATCCACACATGTGAACACACATTTTTTTGTGAATATTTTGATTTTTTTTCATTAATTTTATCATCATTGTACACACACACATTGAAATCATAAATCACGATATATATTTGAATACAAAATACATAGACCTCTCTCTGCATGGATGAAGATTTTATTTTGTTATTTTCACATGCTGATAAATAATGATAATAATATAATATATTCAAGGTGTTCTTGTTTCTATTAGGAGAATAATGATTCAGATTCTTTCTTCCGTTGGTTGGTTTTTTTTATCGATATATCAAATGTTGTATATTAGCAGGGTTTTTTTGCACTCTCTCTCTCTCTCTCTATAGAATTGTACATGCTTTTCGGGATTTTTGTTTTGGCCGTGGACAAAGTACAGCACGAATTGCTTCATCAAACACCGATTTCAATCCACGTTGTGTTAATGCTGAACATTCTTGATATTTTATGGCACCAATTTCTTTAGCTAATGCTAAACCTTGTGCATAAGAAATTGGTGCCTGTTTACGTTCTTTAAGTTTTTCAATCTGTACTGGATCTTCACGTAGATCGTATTTCGTACCAACCAATATTATTGGTGTATTAGGACAATGATGACTTATTTCTGGATACCATTTTGCACGTACATTTTCAAATGAAGCCGTATTTACCAATGAAAAACAAATTAAAAATACATCCTTAATAAAAACAAATGGAAAAATTTTTGTTTTTTTTTCAACATTAAACAAAGAGAAAAAAACAAAATAAAAGTTATGTGTGTTTACCGTTTGTGGATATGATAATGGCCGTAATCGATCATAATCTTCTTGGCCAGCTGTATCCCATAGGCCTAGATTGATTGGTTTTCCATCCACCAATATGTTTGCTGAATAATTATCGAACCTGAATTTATAAATCAAAAAAAAAAAAAAAAAATGGGTTAGTGAACAGGAATTTACTAAATTTTTTTCCAATACATACACTGTTGGAATGTATTCACCGGGAAATGCATTCGTTGTATAACTGATGAGTAAACATGTTTTACCTACAGCACTTTATTGTTCCAAAACACAAAATGATTCCCAACACAATATCATTATTACTAATTTTTGAAATGGGGAAAAAAAACACTACTACTTACCCATCACCAACGACTACACATTTGATTGCTTGCATTATACAACATATGCCCCCAACAAACCACCTATGAAGAAATTACTAGAGAGAGAGAGAAAAAAATGTTGAAATTAAAAAACTTAAAACATAAAAGTAAATAAACAAACAAACAACGATGACGAACACGACGACGACGACGACAATAATTGATGCGACAACAATCCTTTTGGATTTTTTTTTTCTTGAAGGCGTAAGTTTTTTTTTTTTCACTAGATTTGTAATTGATATCACTTGTATTTGGCAGGTTGTATTAGTTATCATGTGTGTGTGTGTGTGTGTGTTTCGTAATTGTGTAACTACACAAAAACCAATCAATCAATGAATGATGAAATAAAGATGGATTTATCATGTAATTTAATTACTTTTTTTTTTTTGGTAACCAAAAACGAGAAAAAAACTAATTACAATCCTTCAACACTTTTTTTCTTTGTGATGGTTGGTGTGTGTGTGTGTGTGTAACAAAAAAATCGAATCAATCAATATATGTGGCCTTTTTTTGTGGTGGTATGCGTTTAAAACTTGGCTTTCTATCATTTTTTTTCTGGCTCGATTTTCAATCATTTCAATGGTGTGTATCTATGTACAAGTGGCGATACTCTTAACCGGATGTGCCATTAATTGATGATAGACACACCACCACCATCATCAAGCGAGCGAGCGATATATGGCTCTTTATTTTGATTGTCGGTTGGTTTCATTGGATTGTATTCTAGTAGTGTGTGTGTGTGTTCAAAGTCAAGTATATTGAATCGTGTGTGTTGAATGAACAAACGAAAAAAAAATGTATCACATTTGAATGAGAGTGCAATTGATCAAAGATTATCAAACACACACACACACACACACACATATATATACAGGCTCAGTCATTGAATCAAAAAAATCTGACCGGAAATGCTGATGATGATTTTAAACTTTTTACTTGATGTTTTTTTTTCACTGTTTTCTTCCACATTCATTGTCAACAAATACATTGTTAAGAAATTTCATTTTTATTTTTTCTTCTGTTCACCATATATATCAAGGTAAAATTTGTTTTTAAAATTTTCTTGAATTTCAATTTCTTTGATCATCTTTTACTTTGAATTGCGATTTTTGTCATGTTGATTTTTTGTTGTCATTTCTTTTTTGTCGCAATTGTTGTTTTTTTAATTGTTTATGACAAGTTTCTTCATCATCTTCGGCTGTTGTCGTTGTTTCAGGCCGATCTCCAACAACTACTACTTCGTTCTTATTTTGCTGATCATGTTTATTATTATTGATTTTTGATTTTTGTTGCCGACATTCATTTAATTTGACATTCTCTTCAATCATTTGTTGTACTAATTCAATTTCTTTTTGACTTTTACTTTTTGATGGTCTACGTTCAATATTTGTTAGCTCAACTTCCGGCAATTCATCATCATGATTATTATGTTGTCTATATATAATTTTCACCTTCGTATGTGGTGTCTCAACAATTTCGGCCATTTCGTTTGGCGCTAAAATTAATGATATAAACACAAAAATCAAAATCAAAATTAAAAAAAAAAACTTGATAAACTTACCATTATGGTTTGTATCATCACCAAAAGATGGCGGATGCGATGGTGGTGGCTGTTCTTTTTGATTACCTCCATTCATATTTTTTTTCACTTGACAAAAAAGTTAAAGTTTCAAAGTAAATTGATCAAATCGTATTGAATTAATCGACATTTAAATCCAGAATGTAATTGAATTATTTAATCATTCCAATAATGTTATTCAATGAAAAAAAATCAAATCATAGCCTTGTTTATGGGACAAATATTATGACTTGAATTCTTATAACCGACTATTTATACCCGCATAGATTAATGATCTCATCGTTTAAAAATTTTTGGATATATACATTGGCATTTTCAATCAATTTTTTTTTCTCATTTCAAATTCAGATGATTGATCGATTACTTCGAGAGTTACAGTGAAATATCCATTTATACTTTTGAAGTTAAATCGATCTCTGTCCACCGAACATCTAACCATGTGACATTTAAACGTGTGAAAACTGTATTAGTGGAAATATTTGGTGGTAGTGGTAGAATCCAAACATGTAATTCAATATCCCTTTGTGTGTGTGTGTATTTCCGCTTTGGTTACAGTCACAATGACAACAATCATAGTAAATTTTTTCATTTTCCATTATTATTACGTAATTCATATATTTCAATTGTTATTGGTATGTGGCATTGTAGCCAAAGCCATAATCATGCGAAATGTATACATGCGGCATGCTTTGTTTGAATCAAAAAAAATGTTAACCAGTAGTAGTAGCATTTATAATAGTTACTGGTAATGGTAATTCAACCAGACCCGAATTACCATTAGATGTATATATTGATGATGATGATGATGATGATAATGGTGAGTGGCCCGAATTAATATTAGTAAACATGAAAAAAAAACCAAAACCAACAAATCGATTGTGTTGAATTATGAAGATGATGATAGGATAGTAGGAGAAGTAGGAGGATATGTGTGTGTGTGTGTGTATGATATGATGTTGTCGTTGTTATTGTTGATGATTAGTTAATAAAATCCAATGCCAATCAATTGAATCGAATGATAATCAACAATAATAAATAAATAAAAAAAATACGACCATTTAATCATCATCATCATCAATAATAAAGTTCAAATTGAAGAATATTCTGGACAAATGAATACAAACAAAAAATATTTTCATCAATGACGTCGTCAACAATGACGACGACAACATATTTCGGAAATTCACAAAATTGATTATCGATAAACCAAGTTTTGTTTTTTGGAATATTATTTATCTTGTTGTCATTGTCACCATTGTCGTCGTTGTCTTCATCGTTGTCGTCATTATAAAATTCAATTATCATCAGTCTTTCATGCAACGATGAAATTATCACAACACCTGTGTGTGTGTGTGTGTGTGTGTTGTGTTAATTCATTGTCATCAATGAATGGCCATGGCAAACATCATCGTTTTTATATTTAATCATGTTTGTTTTAAATGTGTATTATAAACGTTTTAAATGCTGAAATGTATTGAATGAATGAATGAAAAGAAAAAAAAATGAAAGAGTTCATCAAGAAACATACACACACACACACACACACAAAAACACTCGTGATCGTTAACATTTCAAAAGTTTGATCGTTGTTTTTTTTTGTATTTCAATTCACATTATGACTCTTTTTTTTCAAGTGTGTATTCATTACAAAATTTGTTTGTAAATGGATCCTGTTTTTCTCTTTTCTCATAATTGCTAATATAAGAAAAATGAATATCGTTTGAGCCATGTGATTAAATCAATAAATACTAATATATAATATAATAAATATATTCAATTTTCATTCTGGATCATTAATTTGATTACGAAATTCTTCAATTATCTTCGATGAAAATGATGTCTTTATTATTATTCAAATTCATGACGATATTAATGAAGATAAAAGATTTCGCATCAAAATTTTGTCCTAAACATTTGAAATTATTATTACCAATGCAGCTATTATTATCAACATGATGATGATAATGATGATGGTGTTGATGATGATGATGATGATGATCAGTGGAAATTTATGTGAAAAAATTTACACTTTTCTGTCGCCATAATTAAAATTACGTTTTATTTCTTTTCTTCTTTTTTTTTGATTTAAAATATTTTAAAAATTTAAATTTTTCATTCATACACACACACACACACACACACCTACATTTGCCATGTCGGCGGATGATTCAGATAACGATAGTTGCCATTCATCATCGTCATCATCATCATCGGCATCATCTTCCGAATCATCTACTTCATCTTCATCATCAAATTCGTCATCATCATCATCATCATCGTCTAAATCACATTCATCTTCATCTGCATCAAAACAATCTTCCGCTTCATCTTCCTCATCGTCATCATCTGGCTCTTCATCTTCTTCCGAATCCGATGATGATAGCTCACAGCAAACATCACTTCCAGAAAAAGCAGCAGTGAAAATAGCTGATGATCATCATGAATCATCAGGTGCATCATCGTGTTCTGAAAATGAATCTGGTTCTGATTCAGATGATGGCTCTGAATCATCATCAACATCCCCTTCATCATCATCATCATCATCATCAAGTGATGATGAAAATGATGATGAAAACGTAGAAGAAGAGGAAGAAGAAGATGGCGAGGAAATGGCTGCAAGTGATTCCAATGATGATGATGATGAAGAATGTAGTGGTTATTCATCGGATTCATCAAAAAGTAGTACACGATCATCATCAAATCAATTTCGATATTCAAATGAAGTAATCATTATGGCAAATCGTAATCATTCAAAACGTTTTGTTGGTTCATCATCATCATCGTCATCAACAGCAGCTACACCATCAAAAGATAATGACAATCTATTCACTAGTCTATGTAAATCACCTAATTCTTTGCCACGAATATCATTCATGTCCGGTTTAACTGAAAATAATAAATCATCATTACAAGGGCTTCCGAATCGGTTGCATGCTACCGTACCGGCACCAGATGCACGGCCAATTCCATCACGATCAACATTCGACAATCAACAGAATCAGAAACAACAACAATCCGGTTTTTCACAGAAGTTATCATTAGTAGCCGAAAATGATATAGCAAAAAAACCAAAATTCCGTACCAGAGGTATTCAATATTGTTTGACAATTTTTATTTTCAAAATTCTAATTTCTTTCTTTTTGTTTACAATTTACAGTGAAAAAAGAAGATATTGTAGATATACCAATTACTGAACGTGATCGTGAAATTCTTTTGGCAATTGGAAAAATTAAACGACAAAAACAACGACCATCAGTAGATCGTTTATATAATCTTTTGGCTCGATCAAAACATTCTGATTGGGATACAAAAAATAAAATTCAATGTCATTTAGATGATATGATACTGCGGTCTTTATTGGCACGTGTGAATAATGCTGATAAAGGTTTTGTTTCTTATCGTGAACTAAATTCAGCCATACCAATTGTAGCGATAAATAATCCATTAAAATCTCGTGTACATCTTCTTAATGATATCTCAAAAAGCAGTGATAATAATAATCAGACAGCTAAAACCTGTCAAAGTACATCGCCAACGTTTCCAAAAAGTATGTTTGATTGAATTGAAAGTATGTTTCATAAACTAATTTTACTTTTTTTGAATAGATTCATCTACAAAAACAAAATCCGTATCAACATCAACGACTACAACAACAACAACATTGAATTCGATTGATGAATCAATCGAAAGAGTTGTACGAAGATATTGTAAAGATTCATTGAATAGACAACAATCAATCACAACAACAAGTATTGATAATGATAGTGAAAATAATAATCATCGATCATATCTACACCGGAAATGTGGAATGTGTGGCCATAGTACTAAAGATGATGAAAATGATGAGCTTATTACTTGTTCTGTTTGTGGAATGTCTGGTCATTCATCTTGTTTAGGTTGTTCACCTTCATTATTAGCCCGTATTCGACAATTACCGAATTGGGAATGTCCAAATTGTAAAAAATGTCCACGTTGTGGCCAACATGATGATGAAACAAATATCGTTTGTGTTGTTTGTGATCGTGCTTTTCATCGTACATGTTTACGTTGGAATCCATCTAATTCGGGTATGTATTTTCTTTTCTTTTTTATAATAATAACATTTTTTTTAGTTTCAAAATAAGATAAAATGAAATTTGCAACGTATAAACTGGGCAAATGAAATGTAAAATTTTTTTTTTAAAGCAGAAAAAATAGTGCATGCGTATTAATGAAATAATATGACGGCGCGCTCATTCTTTTATTGTCTGTTGCTGATGTTGATGTGTGTGTGTGTGTTTTGTGAGCGAGCGATTACCCATTAATGAAAAAAAAAAAAAAAAAATCTTACAAACAAGCCTATGACGACGACAGTGAATTGAATGTTTTGAATTGTATAAGAAAGAGAGAATATTGTAATTCTAACAGAAAACTATTTGGACAAACAATAATAATAATAACAACAATCCCATTGAAAAAAAAATGTTTTCTCACTCTTTTTGATTCCAATTTTTTTTTTTGTTTTTCCATTTTGACATGAAACTTTAAAACAACTTGCTCACTATTTTTTTTTTTTAAATTTTGGTTGAATATTGTTATGTTATTTTTGTGTGTTTGGTTTGAATTGATTGAACGGATTGAAATTGATATAATCATCTTCAACAGTGAATAATAAGTTTTATTTAATGAGAAAAAACACGAATATTATTGCTGCCCATTATATCATCATCATATATAATATTGTGTAGTGAAATCATTGACTACATTTATATATATATGAATATGAATATGAATGAATTATATATATATGAATAAATAATCCACAAAATAACACTGCCCATACTGTTTATTATCAAATTGCAAACAAACACACACACACACAAGCAAATATTCCCGAATTTAAATCATTCGAAAATTCCATTGATAAAATAATTTATACTGCCTTACATTACATTGAATTCTCATTTTGCAATTTATAATAACCAAAATATGACAATTGTCAGGTAATAAAAATTTACTATGTAATACATTAGCTTTTGTTTAGGGATTTTTTAATTTTTCATTTTTCAATTTTCAAATTAAACTTATTGATTTATTCTTTCTTTTTTTATTTTTTTTCTCATTCTTGATTATTACTAGTGTTCCTTTCCAAATATACATGTGATGATTGTGATAAAATTTACGCAGAAGATACAGTTTCAGCCACCACAACTATTACAACTACCAAAAATAATAATAATCGTAATTCATTCAATAGTCATTCATCATCTGGAATAATCCAACAACAACCTGAAATAAAATTAGCCACAGCAATTCGACATCATCCATCAATTGAAAACAACATAAACATAAACAACAAAGACCAAAATCATTTGAATCCAATCATAAACGACGTTACGATAGTCCTGATACAACAAATTCATTTGAATTAAAACAACAATCAACATTAACGCCGAAATCTGAAGAAAATTCTACACAATTATTAGAATTTTGTCGAAAATATCTTGGCCGTCGTGGTCGACGTAAAGGTTCATTCCATTTAAAACGTGATCTTGTATCATATCGTACACTGACCCTACAACGAGCCAACTTATCACAATTGAATTATCAACTGATTAGACCGGAGATTGAATCCATATGCACGACAACAACAACTGAACAATCTTCATCATTATTGCCTGATAGTTCAGCAATTTTAGATAATTTGGATTCTGTTGTTGGATCAGCTGATCTTGAAATAGTTGACAATAATATCATCAATAATAATTATTACAATAAGGAGAATAATGGTGGTGAAAATAATTCAATCAGTAAACGTAATAAACGACGTAAATATCATAATAAACGCCAGAATCTAAATCGAACAGTAGATGTAAAGAATTTAACAAAATTAGAAACAGATTTAAATTCTCGTAGCAGCAGTATTAGTGTTGATTTACAAAATCATTTTAAACAGTGATCCAGTACTGGTCGTACCGGAATCAGATAACGGTGACGACGAAGAAGTTGAGAAAATTCTTTCGACATCATCGAATCATAAAACGAAACGAACAAAAATGAGAAAGGTAAAATTTTTAAATGTTTATTTTGAATTTATTCCTGAAATTTTTCTTTTTTGATTGTAGTCAAACAAACAAACTTTGATTACAGAATTTTTGATAAAATCATCCACATCATCATCATCATCATCATCTTCGTCTGCGACCAAAGCTCATGAGAATCAATCAGCAGATGAAAATGGTAATGGTAGCTGTGATGATGATGATAATGATAATGGTGAACATGGTCGTACAACGAATAAACAAAAATCTAGTTCCAAACAAACAACAACGAATGCTTCGGTAAAAAGTCGGCAAAAAAACGAAGTCGGAAATTTACACCAATTAAAAGGCGAAGGAATCAACAACAGAAACAGCTTGAAACCGATGTTTCTATAATCATGGCCGAAGATGATGACGATAGTGTTTTGGAAGAAAATGATGAACCGACATCAGAGAAATTCAAAACATCAACACCCAAACCAAAAAAACGTGACCGTTATAAAGAGGAGAAATCTAAAGATGATGATAATATTGGAAAGTCTAATAAATCAAAAAATCGAAATCGTTCCATAGTCATCACGGATAATAGTGGCACTAGTGATAAAAGACAATCTGAGATATCATCACCAAATAGTCAACATTCATCATTTTTAGATGGTCATAAGAAAAATTATCGTGCATTATCACCTCCACTACCTTTGGATGCAACAATGGAAATAACTGGAGATGATGAACAATTGTTTAAAAAAGTACAAAATGTTGCCGAAAATGGTCTTTCATCGATCATATTAACACCGTTGAAAACACAAAGTCCAGGATCAAAAGTAAATTTTATTAAAATGTCCAATTATTTTCATGAATAATCTTAATTCATTTCAAAAATAGAATGATGGTGAACATACACAGCTACGTTGTCCGGCTGCAATTGAATTCGGTAACTATGAAATCGAAACCTGGTATTCATCATTATATCCACATGAATATGCAAGACTACAAAAATTGTTTATCTGTGAATTTTGTTTGAAATATATGAAAAGTTCGGATATGATGGAAAGACACATGGTAAGTCTTATAAGTTTATATTATGGAAAATTTTCATCATTTTTGATTTTATTGTAGAAAAAATGTTTACTGAAAAGACCACCGGGTGATGAAATTTATCGTTCACGGCAGATAATACCAAATTTTCATATAAAAACACCAATTTATTTATCAGTATATGAAGTGGATGGTGCTAATACAAAATGGTATTGCCAGAATTTATGTCTTTTAGGTAAATTGTTTATCGATCATAAAACGTTATTATTCGACGTGGAACATTTCCTTTTTTACATTCTTACTATCGATGATATTTATGGTATGTATGAATTGGTTATTGGAATTCAGGATTACCTTTTTCATGAAAACTTGGATTTTTTTTATATGATTAGGATCTCATGTTGTTGGATATTTTTCAAAAGAAAAATTTTCTACTAAAGCATTTTAATGTATCATGTATTGTAACCTTACCACAATATCAACGCAGTGGTTTTGGTCGTTTTTTAATCGATTTTTCTTATCTATTATCACGGCGTGAAGCATTGATTGGTACACCAGAAAAACCGTTATCTGAACTAGGAAAATTATCATATCTATCTTATTGGCGTTTTAGAATCTATGAATATGTTGATCGATTATTTAGACAAAAAAATGAATGTACGAAAGATTCACAAGATGATGATTTGCTGTCCATATCGATCGAGCTTATATCTGAAAAAACCGGTCTAAATGTCAATGATATATCGTCCACATTACAATGGTGTGGTGCATTCAAAAAATGAATAAAGAGTATGTATCTTGTATATATTAGTCATGAATTTTTCGTTTTGTCATTTTTTCATTTTTTCCTTCCAGATGGTTACTGGAATTCAAACAAGAAGAAATCGAGCGTTGTCTACAAAACCACGAATCTCATTAAATGAAGATAATCTAATATGGGAACCGCTCATATCAAAAGAACCTCAAATTTCAGTAAAAAATGATGAAGTATATAATGTCCTGTTCTATGATGATGCATTAGATCAAAATAGTTTAAATAAATCTATGAAAAATGGAATACAGTTACCGGGTAAATTGAAAAAGAAACGTCGTCGTCGGTGGAATAAAGCATATAATCATACACCAACACCAAAACGCCGGAAAAAGAAAACAACACATGGAGAAGAAGCTACTGAATCTGGTAATCAAAGGATTTCCGAAGATGATGAAGAAGTTGATGATGATGATGATGACGATGATGATGAGGATAGTCGAATGGCATTTGAAAATGATACGGAGGATGATGAAGATTCGGATGACGTAGATGATGAAAATTATGATGAAGATGAAGAAGAAGAAGAAACAATAAAAAATGACTCTGAGATTGTTACGAATGGTAATATCGATTCGACGACTACATCGTCGCCACATCATCGGACCAGATCAACTGTGAACAATCATGATGAATCTAGCTGTGATAAACCAATGACCTTAGTTAATGGTCATCATCATCATCTTCGAAATACAAATAGTTCAGCTACTGCTGCTGCTGCTGCTATTGTTACAGAAGATTCAAATTCATCACCATTGTTCAAAGTTCGTCGTCGTAAACGATCTACATCACGATCACCTTTTAAACGATTAAAACTAGATACATCGTCATTATCAACACCAACTATGGCTAAAATGTCAAGTCCATTAACAAATGGAAATCATAAAACCATCAATGGTAAATTACCTGTCAGAAATCTATCTAATCTATGTGGTGATGAAATCAATGACGTTGGCGATGACAATGAAGACCATCATCAAGATGGTGAATCTTCGTCCGATTCAAATTCCAATGTTTCTAATAGTAAAAATGAAAATCGAACATCATCAACAACATTGATAACGATGAAACAACAACATTCATCTCCACTAAGAAATCATCATCATTCACCACGAAATCTTTCAAATGGAGTTTGCTGATCATAAATGGACTATCAGCTATTAACAAAAGTCCTGTTTTTTTTAAATTTGTAAATGAAACCAACATACACACATGAATAACATCAGTTAAAATAGATTTGTATTTGTTTATTATGTTTATTTAATGTATGTCATGAATTTAGATGATTTTCATTCACCCCTTTCTCACTCATTCTTCCATCAATCAATCAATCAATTTAGCGATTCATCATTCATTTCAAACAAGATGACGCATCATCATCATCATCATTATAAATTTCAATGTTTTTTTTTCTGTCTTGTAAAATTTTCATTTCATTTTTTATTCATTTTTCATTCCATTTTTATTTTTTAAAAAATATTATTAAACGCAAAAGCGTTCATAATTGAATGAATGATGACGCACATTAAATATGAATTTTTTATCTTGTCTTTTTTTTAAATTTAATTTTGATTTTAAATTTTAAAATTAAATTTTCACAATATGATGATACAATGAATAATAGAGTATTTATCTGTGATGATTACATTCAAATCAAATCAAATCAATCAATCAATTTTTATCGATTTATGGGCAAAACAAAAGAATTAGAATAAAAATGATGATTGATGATTGATTGACATTTGATATTTATCTGAAAAGGGTTGTTTATTATTATTAGTAATATTGAGATGTGAAAAATGGGTTATAACAACATTTTTTTCTGATTGAATCATTTTGAAGAAAATGAGAGTGATAGATAAATTATCATCAAATTACTAGCTAATTATTACTTGCTATTACTACTACTACTACTGCTGCTGTTGTTGTTTATGATACGTTTAATGTATGCATTAATGTTTTAAAATACGGCGTTTGTTGTGGATCTGGTGATGTACGATTGAATGCCGAATATGATGAGGTTGGTGGACCTGGGGTGTGATGATATGTTTAAATTTGAAAATTTGTTTATTGATATGACTGAGTTAAATTTGAATATATATACATACGAAATTGTTGTTGAATACGTTCCTCTTGCAAGAATTGATAGGTCGGTGAATTAGTTATGTCAATCGTTTCTGGTTTTGTTGTCGTCATTTTATACACCGGTTGTGGACTAATGCTCGATCCAGTTGAACCACTGAAATGAAAATGATTTCAATATTTATTTTTTTTTGAATTCTTTGTGATTTAACTTACAGATTGATTGAATTTTGTAAATTGTTTTCACTATAAAGATTGATTGGTGAATTATATTGACGATGAACTGGTGAACCTTCAGTCTATTTCAACAATAACAACAACAACAACAACAACAACAAAAAGAAAAATTAAATTTTGGAAAAATATTAAATCAATGAGATAATAATAATAATAATAATACAGACCGATCCCAATTGATTAAGAAGTTTAAATTTTCCTTCTTGAACCATAATATGTTTAGGTGGATCATGCCAACCAGGGCCTTCCATATATTTAAGATACGAACCCGTTGGCCAATCTCGTCGAACTTTTGGTTTAGGTTCAATAATCGGTATACTACGATAGGTCTAAAAATGGTGGTAAGTCAAATTATTTGATGATAATAATTTTCATTGACTACATAGAAATTGTTTTGTTTTTTTTTTTTGTTTTCACTGGTTAATACCTGTTTAGTAATCGCCCATTGTTCACGTGCTTTTTCATTCAAAAATTGTTCAATATTATTATCTGGCATACGGATACCGCTATCCATTTGGGCAACACTAGGAATGACACCACGATTCATTATGATTGGACGATATGCTTCACTATTCGTGATTTTATATGTCTCTATTTATTCAAACATAATTGAAACATTATCATAAATTTTTGTATCTGATTATGTACAAAACTTACTCAATTTTCTGACACGATTCTTTGGATCACGAAGTATTTGTAATTCAATACGATTTCTTGTTCTTTGTGATAACAATTCAATCGCAATTGAATATGTTAATGGACGGCCAGTAATTGGTGAATTATCAATACCAATCAATATATCGCCCGGTAAAATACCAGCTTCGTATGCAGGACCTGAAGATGCAACCTAAGTAAATGAATAAATAAATGAATGAGAATAAATCCATGTATACGAAATGAAAAAAAAAAAATAAAAATAACAGACAAAGAAAATAAATCACCAACAAACTTTATTCAATGGATGATCAAAGCCTGACTAGAATTCGACAATCAAATGAATCAAATGACTTGTGATTGAAAAATACTCTTTTTTTTCATATAGTTTGAAATAGATTTTTTGAACATGGTAATATATCGGCAATAATAATAATATATATATAATTCAGTACACACTTGGCAGTCGAGCGTACCACCACACTTAGTTGTACAATGAATAGCTGCATGTTTATGGTCTTATTTCCCCCTTTATAGACAAAGAATTCAATAAGATAAAAAAGAATCCTTTTGTACATATGTACATTGTAAATGTATCTCTGATGGTGATGATAATGTGAATGTGTTTTGTATCCTTGAATCCTTTCGATTCTTTCATATTCAACTATTGTTGTTGCTGCTGCTGCTGCTGCTGCGATATAAATTTGTATTTGACAATGGGACAGACATCATCATCATCATCATCATCATATGAATTGACATCATAAAAATTGTCACCACAAAAATTTCAATTCACACACAAAAAACAATAATAGTGCAAACACAGAGAAAGAATAAGACATTGAAAAATGCTTGTATTATGAATGTTAGAATTGTTGAAAATAATAATAAAAAAAAAAGATTCTCGACATTTCTACAGTGATGATAATAATAATAGGAAGGATAATCCTTTGACGTCGAGAATTTATCTGATCTTGAACTACTTGTGAAAATAATTCTAATCTATAAATTTAAGAGCATAACGGTCTAGGTCAACTTAATTTTTATTTAAGATTTCAAATGAAAATTTTTTTACTTACATTTTGTACGACCAAAATCGAACCCAAACGTTTATGTTCGGTTTCAATAAATTCGAATCCCCATTCTGTTGCTGGTGATGGACGATTAATCGTAAGAAATAATGTTTTATTTGCCATTTTCGTTCAATCGATTCGATACGAATCGAATCGAATCGAATGAATGAAATGTTTTCTCCGAGAATGTGATGAAAAGAATCAAAATCGGTTAGAAAAGGGTTCATCATCATCACGGATTCGACGCCGATTTGATTGTTTATACAAGATCAATACATGAATATAATAAGCGGCCATCGCCCATATCAAAAAGACCTTGAAATTTCATCAAATTTTAAAAATTCAATTCATTTCCATACGATTGATTTATTGGACTGAATCCAGCAATTTCGATTAGTTTTTTAATACTTTTTTTTTGTTTCACTTTTTAATTTCATTTTTCATACAGATCATCGATTTCTATTTAAATTTTACTTTCATCCATTTCGTATCAACTGCCATCATGTAGTAATAAATTGAAAGAATAAAGAATTGATGCCAAGAATTTTGTTTGTGTTGCATACTTTTGAATTTTGTTTGATATTTCATGGTGCATTCAATTGTAAGAAATAGTTACTAAATTTAGTCCAAACAATGTCATTCATTTGTATGTTTTTGCCAATGCGGACAGAGAAAAAAAAATCTAGAAAATCGAAACCAATTGTCAAGCCATGAATTGATCATGAAGTCACCAATATATAATATTTATGTGTCATCAAAGAAAAAGTTGAATTGATGATAAATTCAGGCCATCGTTTCAATTCATTCCACAATTAGGTTAACCAAATTCCGGATCGACATCAAACCATGGTCACATTCTTCATCCATTCATTGATTGTCAAAATTTTCTGATTCTATAAATTTGAATTCTTCATGTTTCCATTTTTTTTTATTCAGGTTCATTCAAATTGAAAACAAAAACCACATAAAAAACGATTCCCTAATGCGTAGTTTACATAACTTTTTTTTCACTTGTCTAACTTTTTTTTTGTTTTAGTCTATTGCCGGTTTACTAATTATACACATTTTTTTTTGACAAATGTATGCTATTTCGTAGGCGTTTGTAAAAATTATTTTTTTTCCTCTCTTGTTTGTTCATGTATCGTGGCATTGAAAAACAAACAAACAAAAACTGTGAATTCAAATTCAAATTCGAAAAAAGAACAGAAAAATTGCTATTATCAAATATTCATTCACGGATATATTCACGGGCGTATTAAAACAATCAACATGAATGATGACGATGAATTCGTCATATGATAATATATATCAACATATAACTGTAAAATATACCGAAAGGTTAAATGCAGAAAAAAATGTAATTAAATCAATCAAATCAACACACACACACACCCTTACACCTACCATCATCGGAAACAACCTTGATCTTTTTTTTCTATAAAAATTTTTTTTCCCAAATAGAACAAGGCCAAATGTCATGTCATGTCACTTATGTTTTAGATTTGTTCCAAAACTGGCAAAATAATGATAATGATGATGATGATGGTGGTGGTTAATTTCATTATGACGTATTTCATTGATCTTCTTCATTCACTCTTTTTCGATTTTCAAAATTACATTTAGCAGAAAAAAATGATTAATGACATGTTCAAGAGCCAATATATAGGATTTTTTTTTTCTGTTTATTCTGCCTTCAAAAAAAAAAAAATAGAAAAAAAATTTCATCATTTCCATCATGATTGATGCATATATACAAAAACAAATTTATATTTACCTTTAATTTTTGCGTTTCTTTCCCTCCTCCTCTCTAAATATTATTATGTTGCCATTTTGGAACATTTTGTTTTGTTGAAATCGATTTACACACACATGGAATCGCATTGATGATGATGGCAATTCATTTCATTTCATGTTTTTTTAATAGAGTTTAAATGTTTTGAAGAAAATTTCACATCGATTTTGATGATCTTGAGTAATTCGATTTGTTGTTAAAAATTAATCAGATTTTTAGTTGTCAATTTTTTTTTAACAATTGTCAACACTCTGTGGCAGCAGTTTCGTCATATAATATTGATGTAAGTTTTTTGTTTATTTACTGAAAAAAAATTCATTCATTTCTTGTCGTTATGCAAGAAAAAAAAATGAAATTATTCTATCACCATCATCATTAAGTTTTATTGCCCATTCACCATAATACCATTCGATTATGAACAGAATGAATTCAACTGAATATAATGAACAAAATTCGGTCATGTCACCAGAAAAAAAATTTTTTTCTCATTTATATGGTCGATCTAATTATAGAATTGAAATCAAATCAATCCCTCTTGTTTGATGAATTTCATACATTCATTTTACAATACAATACAATGGATGACATCCAACGAAAAGAAAAAAAACCGATTGATTTCTTCGAAAAAAAGCGATTACCGGAAATTAATCGATGTCGTACAGACATGTATGAGAAAAAGATACTGATTTTAGAAAATGTAATTATTGTATTGCATAATTTTTGTGGAAATGCTGACTACGATGAAATTTCATTCCATTATTGGTCTTTTCTTTCCCACTGTACATTATTGACAAAGACAGAGACAAATTTTATTGCCAAAAAAAAACCTCGATTCCTCGATGGTGATGATGAATTTCTAATTTTATCATCGTTAACACATCGACGACGACAATAACGAATTACATTTGCCAACAGAAATTCAATGTTCAGCTTAATCTTCCTTGAATATATGTAAATATATGCATATTCTTTCGGAGGGATAAATACAAGAATCGGCTTTAATCATCATTAAATTCTTAATCCCACAAGAATGGGAGGTTTGTTAATTTCGGCGTTGGAAAAAAAACAAAAAGAGAAATCGGCAGCGGTATATACAACAAATACACTGTAGATGAATAGAATATGTATACCGGAATGAAACTCTATAATCATCAGCAAAAAAAAAATTCTGCATTAGATTTTGCTAGTCAACATATGTGTGAGTGTGTTTGTTCATATGGAATTTGAAATTTGAATAAAATCTCAAACTACGATGATGATGATGATGATGATCGTTGTTTGTTGTCGATGTTGTTGGTCGTTGCCATTTTTTTCCATAAGATAAACATTCAACAATTATATTTGATTATTGTTTGTATAAATTTCAAAACGATAACCGACGATTGACTTCAAGGTTCTTCTTGTTCAACGATTCTACGAACCATTTATTGTATCTGGTTTTTTTTATATTTTCATTTCATTTTGAATTCTTGCACGAATTCTTAAATTGTAGCATACACACACACACACACAGCACACACGAATTTTTATTTTTCTTTTTTTTCTCTTCTCTCTCTCTCTCATTCCCATTTATATTTTTTCAAACAAAAAATATTTTTTTGTTTGTTTGTACTTTTAATATAATATATAAATTTATCATCAACAAAAATTGCGTTCAACATTGAACTAGGCATATTTGCCTTAATTCTTGCCTGTATAGCATGGTTGGCACAAAAATTTTGTGCTTTGCCTTCACCGTCATCATCTTTATCCAGGCATAATGATGACGGTGATTCTTTACCGAATTCTGTTCATAAACAACAACAACAACAACAACAACATCAACCTAAAACGATCATCATCGGTACCATTCAAAATGGTAAAACCTTTACTGATGATGATTATGATGGTGATGGTGGTGATAATAATGTTAAACTAAATAATTGTAGTATCAATAAAAACTTTAATAATCGTAGATGTACTAATTCACAAACAGAGATTCGACTACGAAACATAAATTACCGACCAATACAACTGGTTGATACGGCTACACAGACCATCATAGAAAAATCTATACAACAACAACAAGAAGATTATAATCCATCATTACAGAAACAAGATAAACCACAGAATTTTTTCATAGAACACCAACGATATAATTACGGTTACGACAGTGATCAACGATCAACATCATCGATTGCGCATTCAGAATTTGAATACTATCCGATTGTTGGTGAAGATAATTATTGTTGTAATCGATTACAGCATCAACAGCAGCAGCAACAACAACAACAACAACAACAACGACGACAAAATCGATTTAGTGCCGATTTTGAAACCGATAGCGATTGGTCAAGTGTACAATCAATACCATTGGCAATTTTCAATACAAAAATGGCAACAACAATACCACAATCACCAATTGCAGTTGCACCGCCGCCGCCACCACCACCACCACCACCAATGCCTGGAACTTCCGGTGCATTACCAATGCCTGATTGGCGTGATCTTTATCCATCACAACCACCAACATCCATAAGACGTGAACATCCACCGAGTAAAGAGGAGATTGAAAAACAACAATACGCACATTTACCGGATAAATTATTGAATGCAATGAATAAGGATAAAAAACCATTCACATATACACCAAGTGGTGTGTCAAGGTAATTTTCTTTTGTTCATTATTGTTCTTTTTTTGATTATTGATTTACTTAATCACCAAAAACAGTGAAAAAGGAGTACTCGATCTAAGTGAAATTCGTTCACCACGTATGAAAAAACGTTTATTAGCCAATTTACATGCTGGGGAAGAGGAAGAGAATGAAGATCAACCAATAACGAAAACAGATTCTTTACAGAATCAACCAAAATCACCTAATGCTCATCAATATACAGCAAGTCCATTTGTATTGCCACCGATTCCGGCTGATGCAGCACAAAAACTTCGTCCATCTAGTCCATCTGGTTTAGGTTGCCAGAACAATTTAAATAACAATAAAAAAGAAGTTCGTTTTGCGCCGTCACCGATTCCAATGCTATCCTGTGATGATAATGAATTGATTAGTAAATTGGCAGCACGAAAACAGGATGTTGAATCACGTGCAACAATAGTAACAAATAATCCTATTGATGATGATACTGATGGTGATAATAGACAATCACAACAGCCAAATTTTCAAACAGCTGAGCAAAAGAAATTCGAACCTGATATGAATCAACTTTGTTTGAATGCAGCTGAAGCCGTTCGAACAGCTCGTGGTATAGCAGATATGAATGATGTGAACAGCAACAATCATCCACATTTAAATTCTGTATATGGTGGCAACCAAATGGATGAATTGAATGAAACATTTCAAAATCAATTACGATTTGAACCGTCTACACAAGTTCAAGTGGCAAATTTTCAGCAACAACAAACGCCTACAACTTTCAATACAGATGTTCTTAAACACGTTCTGGATTCCGGTTTACAAGGTAAAGCATTTCTGTCACTAAATTCTATGGACCTAAAATGCCATTTTTCTCATTTATAATAGATGAAATTGATAAATTTGAAGAAATGGGTGCTAAAATGGGATCAACATCACCGAATCTACCACCATCGTTGGAAGCTCCAAATTATTGTTCCAGGCCAATGAATTATAGAGGAATAGCACCACCACCGATCCCACCGAAACCGCAAAATTTGATGGATGGCCGCACAAGTTGTCCGCCGAATCCATTTTCATATAATGATAATAATAATAATAATAATAATGGTCAACAGAAGGATTTTATCAATAGTTATCGATGTATTTCACCATCCGTTGATATTTGGAAACGAACACAACAGAATAATAACGCTAATGGTAATTTTCAAAAATGGGAAATCATTTTAGGGAAATTCATAATATTAGATAAGAAAAGCCATAGAAATAGTGTTAAAAAAATTTCAAATTTTAGGTTACAATTGCAGCAATTCAAAACCACGACCATTCAGCAGATCAACTATGAATGAAACGACGTTCACAAATCAGTCGCCACTACAATCATTTCAATCGCCATCAAACGAACGAACAATACCGATTCGAATGGACAATGGATATTCTGCATCGTTGCCGAGAAAGATTAAATTGGGTCAAGAATTTCCACAGCCTCGATCATATGAAAATCCAGGTATTTTAAAATTCTATTTTTTTCACAAATTTATATCTAAAAATTTATCTAACAATAGAATCTGGTCGTGAATATCTTCAACAAGCTGGAATGTTTTCACAATTACCACCGAAACAGATGGATTCACCGACACAATCGAAAATGTTTTTCGGACTAAATTCAAGGCAGCAGCAGCAACAACAACAACAACCACTGTTTGAATCGGAACATGCTAAAACCTATGTTGATCCAGGTGAGTTAATTAAAAAAAGAATTTTAATCTGAAAGTCATTTAAAATTCATAAAAATCTGATTTACAGAGGCAAATCGTGAATATCTTTCACAGGCTGGAATGTTTTCACAATTACCACCACCACCACTACATCATCAACAACAACAACAAACATTTACAACATTTAAATCACGTCAATCTTCATTGCCACCATTATCGAATGGTAATGGTATTAGTGGCAATAAAATTGGGCCAGAATCACCAGTCGGAACACCACCGATAAATCCATGGAAACAAATGGCACAAATGAATAATTCTGGCCATCGATTATCAATGTCGGAATTACGAAAACTTCCACCATCTGAACGTCCACATGAATCGGCTCCATTAAAATATACAGGTGCAAATATCCCATCACGATCGTTTCGAATTCTGCAGCTAATTACCGGTGAAGATGTACCGAATCAATTTGTACAGGAACAGGAAAATGATCAACGTACAAATCATCATCATCATCAACAACAACGTCGTCAACCACCACCACCGCCACCACCACGTTCAGATTCTTATCGGCCAGCATCACAACAATCATTTCGAACGCCATCAACATCACAACAATTTGAGCAATATGAATATCAACAAACAACGATACCTAGGCCTGAATCGGCAATGCCAATGATTGGAAATTATAATCAAAATCAACAACAACAACAACAACAATTATTAATGAATCATTATCGTAATCAAGAACCTCAACAACAACAACAACAACAACATACACAATCAACCGTATATGCTAGTTCGGCTCATGGAACAGATTTTTAGATCTAATGACAAAAATTCAATCATGATTCAAATTGCAATTACTTAATTTTATTGATTATTATTATCATATGAATTATTTTCAAATGCAACGGGATAATGAATTAAAAAAAAAAAAATTTTTTCAATTTTATCGATTGAATTTTAGAATAAATTTGAAGATGATAGTGAAAACGGTACACAGTGAAAAAAAAAATGACATAAAAAAACCGGAAAATATATTTATTTATCATCCAAATTATGGTTATATGGTTATGGTTAGCTGCTGTTTTTTTTTTTTTGTTTGCATCAGAATTTTTCTTTCTCAGTAATTTTTTTTTTCTTCAATACATTTCAATCATAAAACAGTAAAAAATAGACAAACAAACGAGATTATTACATTTTGATCACAAAAATCATAGTATATAAATTGAATTTGATTCATGAATATAAATATAACTAATAATATTGCTGTTCAATTAAAGGAATGTTTTTTTTTGTTTTGTTTTATAATAATGAAAGTTATTCAGTTAATTTGCTCAAATTTTCAAAACGTTCTTTCAATGATCGTGTATTACCGCGACGAATATTCTGTTTGATTGTACGAAATTTATCTACCGGTGTTTCTGATTCTTGTTTCTCTTTTTCAAGTGCTGTTCGTTTTTCTTTCCACCAATTTTCGTTGATCACCATTTTTCGAATATTCTTATCGATTTCGTCATCATCATCATCATCATCATCATGTTCACGATGCATAGTTGTTTGGCCAGGTTCCATAACGTTGGATGATGAATCATTCGGTGTTTCATCTTTCATAACAGCTCCTAAAATGGAATGATTAGCACCATCGACAACATCATAATGATGGGCGTTACCATTTATTTTCGATGTTTCCGAATATTCGTCATGCATTGGATGTTCGTGGACCGTTTGTCATTTCCATTACAACATTAGTTACAGGTGATGATTCCAATGATGATTCTTTTTCACATTCCGAAGTTGTAATTGATGTTACGGGTGACGATTCCTCCATAGTCTCATGGTGATTTGTTGCTGGTGATTCTGGAATTGTTTCCTCAACAGTAACATTTGTTGTAGCTGGAGCTTCTGGAACCGATTCTTTCATTGTAACATCTGTTACGGGATATTGTTGTACGATTTCCTCGGTTGTAACGTTGGTTGCTGGCGACTCTTTAATTGTTTCCTCTACAATCACATCAGCAACAACTGCTTCCGGAAGTTTTTCTTCAATCGTAACATCATTTGCTGGTACATCTTGGACTGTTTCCTCCAACGTGACACCTGTTACTGGTTCTTCTGTGACTGTTTCTTCCATTGTAACATCAGTAGCTGGTGTTTCTATAATCGAATCACTTGCATCCACAAACTGTGCTTGTTCATTTTCAACATCCGATTCTGATTGGTTTTTCGTTTCTTCAGCTAAAGTCACAGTAACAGTTGGAACATTATTATTCAATGGATGATCATCATTATCAGCATCTTGAATTGCTGTAGCATTACCATTGACGGTGGGCGTTGTTGTTGTTGTTGTTTCAACCACAACAGTAGTAGTTACTGGAGATTGATGAATGTTCATATCCATTGTTTCCTGATCGAATGTGCTCATCTTTTCGGCAATTTGTTGAACAAATTTTTCTTCAATATATTGTTTTGCAAATGCTTTTGCTGTTTCGGGTTCATTACAACCACTACTATTATTAGCATTAACATCGACGACAACAATATCACCGTTCATTTGAACATTTTCAGCCATTTTGTTATCTAAATTTTTTTTTCTTGTGATGATGATGATTATGATGATAATGTTGATCAGTGGTAAGATAAATTATCTTCAAAACATACAAAAAAACAAATATATCACGTAATCGAATTTATTGGTATTTGAAAATCGTCAAAAAAAATTTTTTTTCTTTTTTTCTTTCTGATTCGATTCGATTGATAATGATTTGGGCTACAGATAGACACTACAATACACACACACATACACACAGACAGACAATGAAATGTCTTATTTCAAAATTGAAAAAAAAACTTTTTTTAGATCATCAATTAAAATGATGTTTCCAAAAGATTATGATTTAACGGTAGCGGTGTGTAATAATGATGATGATGATGATGATGATGATCAATGGTTTATGGTGTATATTATCATTATAAAATGGTAAAGAAAAACGTGTATATTAGCAACCTGTTGTCAATGACATTTTTTACTGGAATGTGTATATATGTCTATAGAGTGAAAAAAGGAAAAAAAAGTAGACAAAAAAAAACTAGCATCAATATATCAAATAATAATAATAATAATGAGCTGGTTTTTGTTTTGGAGGACAGTATTTTAGAAGATTTTCTTTTCTTTTCTTTTCTTTTCATATTTTTGGATCATTTTTTTTTTTTAATTTTATGATGATTGGATTTATTGGCCATAAATATATGTATATGGTACATACATACATATGTAGTTATTTTGTACGCTACTACCACTAGCAGCGGCAAACATAAAAACGGATCAATGTCATGTTGAATGATTTTTCAATTGGATCGCCAACAACGATATGTTTAATAATGATGATGATGATGATGACGGTGGATATTTTGTATCAGCAAAAGAGTCCAGACAATTATCATTTAGATGAATAATAATAAAAAATCTGCATATAAAAAATGATTCTACGATGATGATGATGATGATAATGAACAAAATCAGAATACACTGGATACGAAATCAGAATTTTTGTTGTTGTTGTTGTTGTTGTTGTTGTAAATATTCAAATTCAATCAAATTAAATTGTATGAAAAAAAATCGAAATAAATTTCCATCAGATTTTTACATTCTGACATTTTTATCTTTTTGACATCTGTCACAATTTTTTGTTGAGATTTTTTTATTATTGGATAAATAGCATCATCGATTTAGAGTTAAATTATTATTATTTTATCCATGCTTATTGTCATTTTGATCTACTATAACCGGGAAACAAAAAGCATGATCAACATCAACAGCAGCAGCAGCAGCAGCAGCATGTCAATCATAATTGAAAATGATCCAATCGATATGTGAAATCACAAGTGTTGCGTTTTCCATAGAATTGTAATAATGGGATTTAGCTATCGTTGTTGTTGTTGTTGTCGTTGTGTTTGGCCAATAATCAATAAATCAACCTGAACGATCAGTATGTAAATGAGAGAAACAAAACAAAAAAAAAAATTTCAATTAAAAATCTCTGAATTTCCAAACCGAAACAAATAATCATTTATCAACCAGTGAAAAAAAAATCCTCTCTTTTTTTTGTAAGAATGATAACAATGATTTCATTGGCTGGTTAATTGTTTTTAAGATATAAATCTACTAATAATAATTCATCTAAATTGAAATGAGAATAAAAAAAGGAAAAGAAAATCTCAAGTACCAAATTGATGATGATATCCACCACCGTCATCATAATCATCATCATCATTGTCATTGTAATCCAACCGTAGATAGTTTGTGGATATTATAATAATAATAATTTTATATATGTAAGAGATAAAATTCAATTTATTACATTTAAAAAGTGCAATTAAATTTCTTTTCTTCTAATTGACACAAAGAACTTCATGATGGGCGTTTCTTGGCATTTTTTTTTTTGTTCTTTGAACAACAGTTTATACAGATTTATATATTGTCTTGAGGTTGTTTTTTTTCTTTAAAAATACTTTTCGAACCAAAACGAAAAAAAGGGATAAAATAAAACAACTGGCGACATCTTTAGTCGTAAATTTTCAATATTACAAGTTTTATTATTGAAAAATTGATGATCATTTTTTCTGTTTTATTTTGTTTTGTTTCCAAATCAATCATTTGAAAAATATTTATAAATCATAGCTAGTAATGGTAATAATAATAATATAATAATTTTGGTTTTCATAAAATTTTCATGCAATTATAATGTATTTATAAGTAGTGGTAGTAGTAGTATTGGTGAACGAATGTAGCAAATAAGATATGCAAAAATTTTCAATTTGTTTTTATATTGGTGTGTGTAACAAATAAAAAAAAATTTTACAAAGAAAAATTTCCGATGAAAAATAATTATTAACCGACCAGAATATTAGAAGAAAAAAAAATTTGAGTCTAGATATATTTACAACACCTAAACACACAAAAAACCAGCTCTAAAATGTGTAGTTGTTGTTGTCATTCACTATTCGTTCCATTGGAATTTTTTATGACCAATGCAATTCTTTTTGATGCTAATCTACTACTATTACGTCCCATGCCGAGACATTTTTCCAGATGTGGTGCCAAACGAAATGCGGCACATGTTCGTGAGCAATTTGGACAAGCACATTCAAGTTTTTTAATACCATTCACTGAATGACCAAATATGTCCAATTTTGTGTTTTCTATGGAGAAAAAACAAGAATCATCATAAAATGGAATTTAATTGAATCATATAGATGTACAGTACTTACCATAAACTTTTGAATCACTTTGAAATTGGAATCAGAATAATTAAAGAATGAATAAATTGTAATGAAAGTGAAAAATCATCATCATCATCAGTATACTACTTACATATCATCATTTGGATTGGAATATTCTCTAAGTCGTATGGAATTTAATTTATGTGATTTATAAAAATCAAAATAAACGCCCAAACATAAATGTTCGAATATATTATCGAATAGATCGTTTGATATGGAATCCTTTTTTGATATAATAATAAATAAATAAATATAAATCATTTATCAATAATAATCGTTGTGATAATTTACTAGATCATAATATTGGCCATCAGTGATTAATGTGGATTTTTTCATAACAATTTCTTCTTCTTCTTGTTCTGGCTGTTGTTGTTGTTGTTGTTGTTGTGTAATCGATGAATGTTCCAATGATTCATTTTCTGATGATGATACATTATTATTGAGTATTTTGATTTGATTAAAATCGGTGTGCATTTTTTTTGTTGTTGTTGTTGAATGTTCGTTAAACCGGGTGGTAAATTTTATTCTTTCATTATTTCATTTCAATTCAATATAATTTGATTGAAAATAAATAAAAATTTTGCTGCAAAATTGAAAGCAAACAAACAAACAAAAAAAATTCTAAAGAAAAAATAAATTTTCGAACATTCAGAAGTAGGTGCGTGTGTGTATTTGTATGTCATGTATAAATTTTAACAAAACAAGACAAAAAATTTACCTCGAAACAACAATAAAAAACAGACTGAATATAAAAAAAGGGGACCACAAAAAAAACATCAGACTAGAACGAAAAGAAAAAATTCTTCCTGTTCATATAGTACGTTTGGTTAAAATTCCACTCAAAATTCCATTCCACTGCTTTTTTTATTTACAAACCAAAAAAAAAAAAAAAATATAGTGCAGACGATATATGTGTGCAATCATATGATTTTAGGCAAAAACAAAAATTAATTCAGATTGACATTGAAATTTTCAATCAAATAAATATGTGATGTTCGAGAAAGGTTTTAATCAAATTCCTTTGGCAAGGATGAGAAAATCCAACAACAGGCAAAAAACCAGAGTGGAAAAAACGTGGCCATAAGTTATGGACTTATTTTCAGGGCCCTAGAAAAACTTTGGACTCGTCTACCACTTTCTATCAAGGACGATGATAAAGTGATTTTTACTACCATACACCCACTGGTACTGACATATGAATGGTGAAACAATCACCCGAACACATGGTCTATGTGACAAGTGGCGTGGTCAAACCGATTGGCAGTTGGACGGTTGTAAAAATCATACAAAAGTCCATGCCACACAAGCAATCATCACCTCGAATCATTTTTATTGGCTGGCCGTTTTAATTTACCACCATCATCATAGCCACAAACATTTTTTTTTAAATTTTTCCAACAATTTTCATTTTTACAATAATAAATTTTCTCATATTTTAAAATCTGTGTTAACTTCGTCCACCAAGAACGCTATTCATATATGCTATATGACGTCACGCAATTGTTGATCCTTTCTTTTCTGCCGTCGCTAACTCTCTCATATTTTCGTTTGTCAATATTATATATTTAGTCTATATTTCGAATTTTTTCATCATCGATAATGGCAAGATCACTGACTGAAAGTATCGATATTGATTTATTTCAATATGATTTCGGAAACATTGATCAAAAATTTCTCCAATCAGTTGTTTCGATTATCAGATTGGCAAAAAAAGGCCACGAAAAACAATTTTTATTAATGACCAAAGAAGCTACATTTGCATATGGTGAACAAATATGCTTATGGTTATCGTTGGAACATGATATGAGCAAACCACAACGGATATCTTGTCTTGATGATATGAAAATTGTTCAAGTAGATTATGGCCGTGATTTTGTTGCCATTCTCACTGATGATGGACGAGTGTATCTTGCAAGTGATGATTCTAAATGGAAGACGAATAAAACATTGCGATTGATTTCCAACGATAATCATCGTTTCAAGATGATTGCTTGTGGATGGTCGCATTTATTAATGCTACGAAAAGATGGTCATGTTTTCGCTATGGGTGTTAATTATTGGGGTCAAATAACTGGTAATATAAAATCATCATATGAAAATATGATCCACATTGATAACCTAGAAAATGTCAAGCTCATAGCTTGTGGAGCTGGTCATAGTTTCTCAATAACTAATAAAGGAGAAATTTATTCCTGGGGCTTTAATTGTTGTGGTCAATTAGGTTTTGGTGGTAAAGATGTCCGAGACACCCCATGTTTTGTTGCATTTCCTAATGTTGATTTAATCGATATGCGAATCAAAGTTATTGTGGCTGGCCAATTATTTTCCTTTTTTTTATTCGAAAATGGTCATGTTTGGGGATGTGGTATTAATTTCAATGGTGAACTTGGTCTTGGTGATGATATTAGACGATCAAAGTTAACGAAAATACCGATTGAAAACGTACAACAAATTGCATGTTCAAAATTCGACAGCTTTTCATTGGCATATGATGGATCATCGTATTATGCATGGGGAAAAACCAAATATGGCAAATGGTCATCACCTAGAAAATTGGATAATTCACACTCATCGTTTGCTTCTGCGTCGACAATGATTCTATCATCACCACTCACATTTGGTCTCACATCAACAATCCATCTATTCGGATCACATGATTCAATATCATACAAATGCAAATCAATCACTCAATTATTCGATAATCAAGATAATTATGATGTGGAATTTATAATTGGCAAAAAGCGTATTAAGGCATACAAATGTTATCTCAAATCTGCATCGGAATATTATCGACGAACGTTTTCCGGTATTTGGATTGAAAAAGACGAAGTAACCATCGAGAATTATTCATATGATACATACTATGCATATCTACGTATGTTACACACTAGTAAAGTTCATATTAATCGTCAAAACATAACCGAACTTGTTGATCTGGCCAATTGTTATGGTGATAAAAGGTTGATAGAATATTGTGAAACATTCATACAGAATGATTTGGATGAACAAACTATGCCCACATATCTTCCATTAATCAACAAATACGAAATGAAGGAATTGCATGCCAAACTTGCTCATATTAGCATTTAAAAAATATTGCCCCAAAATCGGTGACAATCTTCAACAAAAAGAAAAATTTTTTTTTAAACTTTCCATCAACAATCATTTATTCGATAATAATTACATTGTTTCAAAAAAAAAATTAAAAATTTACTTTTTCATTTTTTTCTTTTCAATTTTGATCAATAAAACGAATATTATTAATTCAAATGACTTGCTTTGATTATTTTTTTCGTTTTACCAAAACCTAGAATCTGTGGTGGAAAAAAAAATTCAATTGAAAATTTCTTCTTTCAGAATCATATTTGCTAACCAACTAACTAAAGAACCAGCAGACCATAATAATGATATATTTGATTGCCATTGAATTATGTGTTATAATGATGATTATATTTCATTCCAATTCATTTTATTCAATGAAAATTTTATTTCATTCTTTTTTGAAAACAAAAAAAAAACAGAATCAGCAATATGAAAATTACAAATTGAGGATCATTTTATCATTTTTTTTATTGATTTATGAATAGATGGAAAAGTTTTGGGCAATTATCGAATGAAAAAGCGATAAAATTTCCATTTCCTATTTCGACCGAGAATGATGATGAGAGAAACGATAGTATGGAATGTGTATGGTATGAATTGAACACAATACAATCATCTTATTATGATTAGAATGAAAAAAAAAATGAAAACAAAAAAAAAATCTGATTATTAGCATGATCTTTAGATTCAAAAATTGGCGTCAAACATACAATCGAATACGAATCCGAATCGTATTGATCTTCTCAGATGTATTATTTTTTCGATAAAAATAATTCATTTGAAAACCAATCGTCATAATCTTTGGATGGACCAGTTTGTTGTGAAGTCATTTCATTTGAACAACCATTAAGACTTTTGTTCATTGCCAGTTTGTGATTTTCTTGTGTGAAAATATCATCGTTTAACTTGATCATCTATAGATCAGTTTGTTGTTGATTTAAATTTGTTGCATGAAATTATTAATTTTTCAAGAATTGTAATTTTTTTTCTTTTGTTCTGTTTTGGTTATTGTTTAAATTTATTTATATTTTTTTTTATGATTGTAAATTTGATGGTTTGGGTTGGGGAGAGAAATGTGATGGTTTGTTAACGTCATTGATGATGAGCCCCAATTCGAGCAAAGGAGTTTAGTGAAAATGTGTTTTGAATTCATTTGAATAAATAAATAGTTAACGAGTACACTACATACTACTGATTCTCGAATACTACTAATTTTCGTTTGTCAATATTTTGTCTATATTTAAATTTTTCGAGTGTTTTTCATCATCAATAATGGCAAGATCAGCGACTGAAATTATCGATATTAATTTATTTCAAGATGATTTCAAAAACATGGATCAAAAATTTCTCCCATCAGTTGTTTCAATTATCAGTATTTTTATTTGCGAAAATTATAAACCGAAAAAACAATTTTTATTGATGACCAAAGATGCTACATATGCATATGGTGAAGTAATATGCTCATCATTATCGTTGGAACATGATATGACCAAACCACAACGGATATCACTTTTAAATGATATGAAAATCGTTCAGGTGGATTCTGGCTATGATTTTGTTACCATTCTAACTGAAGATGGTCGAGTGTATCTTGCAAGCAATAATTCTAATTGGAAGACGAATAATGCTTTTCGATTAATCAACACCGGTAATGATTGTTTCAAGATGATTGCTTGTGGAGTGAGGCATTTATTATTGCTACGACAAGATGGTCATGTTTTCGCTATGGGTGATAATAGAGTTGGTCAAATAACTGGTAATGAAAAATCGTCATATGAAAGTATGATCAATACTGGTATTGCGAATGTTAAACTTATTGCTTGTGGAGGGGATCATAGTTTTTCAATAACTAATAAAGAAGAAATTTATTCTTGGGGCCCTAATAGTTATGGTCAATTAGGTCTTAGCGATAAAGAAATTTCAAGTACCCCATGTCTTGTTTCATTTCCAAATGATGATTCAATCAATATCCGAATCAAAGAAATTGTAGCTGGTGACCAACATTCATTATTTTTATTCGAAAATGGTCAGCTTTGGGGATGTGGCTATAATTATAATGGTGAACTTGGTCTTGGTAATAGACGATCAAAGTTGGCGAAAATACCGATTGGAAATTTACAACAAATTAAATGTTCAAAAATCCACAACTTTTCATTGGCATATGATGGATCATCGTACTATGCATGGGGCAAAACCAAATATGTCAAATGGTTATTACCGAAGAAATTGGATGGTCATCCGACATCATTTGCTTCTGCATCAGTTCAGGTATTGAATTCACCAATCACATTTGGTCTCACATCAACAATCTATGAATTTGGATCACATGATTCAATATCATACAAATCAATCATCGAATTATTAGATAATCAAGATAATTATGATGTGAAATTTATAATTGACAAAAAAGATATCAAAGCATGCAAATGTTATCTAAAATCTGTATCGAAATATTATTGTCGAATGTTTTCCGGAAATTGGAATGAAAATGATCAAGTGATCATCAACAATTATCAGTATGAAACATACTATGCATATCTCCGCTTGTTACATACTGGAAAAATTCAAATTAATCATCAAAACATAACCGAACTTGTTGATCTGGCCAATTGTTATGGTGATGAAAGTTTGATGGAATATTGTGCAACATTCATACGGAATGATTTGGATGAACAAACTATGCCCAAATATCTTCCATTAATTAACAAATACGAAATGATAGAATTGTATGAAAAACTTGCTCATCTGTACAAAAATCAAAACCAACAATCTTCTTCATCTTCCAAACGTACAAAATTTTCTTAAACTATCTTTTCTATACTTTTACCCTGAACAATCATTCATTCCACATTGTTTCATTATTCATTCCTTTTTGTTTAAAAAAAAAAAATTTTTTTTTCATTTTTCTTTACAATTTTGATCAAAATCGAATCAATTCAAATGACTTGCTTAGCTTTTTTTTTTTCGTTTTACCAAAATCTAGAATCTGTGGTGGAAAAAAAATTCAATAGGAAAATTTCTTCTTTCAGAATCACATTTGCCAACCCGGCACTGGGTCGGAGAAAAATTAAAAAATAAAATTTGTTATGTAAATAAATTTTTTTCTCATAAGGTGGGTCGCAAAAAATCTCTGGGAAACGCTGTACTATAGTACAGTATATGAAGATATGATTAATACGCAATTGTGTTTATCATGTAGCAGTCAACTGGCTGCGCATACTTTTGTCTATTGTAACCCTTTTCCTATTTCGACCGAGAATGTTGGTGAGAGAAACGAGCATGTTTCCAACCGAAAATTACCAGTCCGCATTCAGATACACACACTCGAACAAGCAAGATCGTCAAGTTCAATAAAAGTGATTTATTTATTTATAACAACAGTTTACGTTACAATCATTTATTTTTGGCTCATCACTAATTCTCGAATATTCTAATAGTTTGTCAATCATTTTGTCAATATTCTGATTTTTTGAGTGTTTTTCATCATCGATAATGGCAAGATCAGCGACTGAAATTACCGATATTAATTTATTTCAAGATGATTTCAAAAAAATCGATCAAAAATTTCTAACATCAGTTGTTTCAATTATCAGAATTTTTATTTACGAAAATTATAATCTGAAAAAACAATTTTTATTGATGACCAAAGATGCTACATATGCATATGGTGAATTAATATGCTCATCGTTATCGTTGGAACATGATATATCCAAACCACAACGGATATCTTGTCTTGATCATATGAAAATTGTTCAAGTAGATTATGGAAGTAATTTTGTTGCCATTCTAACTGATGATGGTCGAGTGTATCTGGCAAGTAATGATTCTAATTGGAAGACGGATAAAACATTCCGATTGATTTCCAACGATAATGATCGTTTCAAGATGATTGCTTGTGGAGGGAAGCATTTATTATTGCTACGACAAGATGGTCATGTTTTCGCTATAGGTAATATTAGTTATTGTTTTTCATTTATTAATGAAAAATTGCCATATGAAAGTATGATCCACATCGATAACTTAGAAAATGTCAAGTTCATAGCATGTGGAAAGTATCATAATTTTTAATAACAAATAAAGGCGACATTTATTCCTGGGGCCTTAATGATTTTGGTCAACTAGGTCTTGGTGATAGAAAAAACCGAGACACCCCATGTCTTGTTGCATTTCCAAATGATGATTCAATCAATATCCGAATCAAAGAAATTGTAGCTGGTGACCGACATTCATTATTTTTATTCGAAAATGGTCAGCTTTGGGGATGTGGTTTTAATTATAATGGTGAACTTGGTCTTGGTAATAGACGATCAAAGTTGGCGAAAATACCGATTGGAAATTTACAACAAATTAAATGTTCAAAAATCCACAACGTTTCATTGGCATATGATGGATCATCGTATTATGCATGGGGCAAAACCAAATATGACAAATGGTTATTACCTAAAAAATTGGATGGTCATCCGACATCATTTGCTTCTGCATCGGTTCAGGTATTGAATTCACCAATCACATTTGGCCTCACATCAACATTATATGAATTTGGATCACATGATTCAATATCATACAAATCCATCGTCAAATTATTCGATAATCAAGATAATTATGATGTGAAATTCATAATTGACAATAAACATATTAAAGCATGCAAATGTTATCTCAAATCTGCTTCGGAATATTATGGTCGAATGTTTTCCGGAAATTGGAGTGAAAATGACCAAGTGATCATCACCGATTATTCGTATGAAACATATTATGCCTATATACGGATGTTACATACGGGTAAAATTCAAATTAATCATCAAAACATAACCGAGCTTGTTGATCTGGCCAATTGTTATGGTGATGAAAGTTTGATGAAATATTGTGCAACATTCATACGGAATGATTTGGATGAACAAACTATTCCCAAATATCTTCCATTAATTAACAAATACGAAATGATTGAATTGTATGAAAAACTTGCTCATCTGTACAAAAATACCCGACAATCTTCAACAAAAAGGAAATTTTTTTAAACTCATTACTTTTACCATAAAAAAATCATTCATTCGATAATAATTCCATTGTTTAAAAAAATAAATTAAAAATTTTCTTTATCATTTTTCTTTTCTATTTTGTTAAATAAATAAATCAAATTCATAATCAAAACAATTCCAATGACTTAGTTTTATTTTCGCTTTACCAGTACCATCATCAATTGGATAACAATGAAAAACTATGAATTTTCATAATTTAATTCATCATCAATTGGCCATCAATAATGATAATCAACTTAACACGCCGCTTTTCTTCAAATCGCTCCTGAACAGCCGTCATTTGAAATATTTTTGCGAAACTTCGAACAATTATCCGTCACACCACAAGGTACAAGAATAATGTCATTTGAATTTGATACCTCGAGTCTCTAGAGGTCAAAGGACAAAAATTGTCACTCCTAACCGAGAAGAGGTATACAAAAATTGGCATTTTTTTCCAAAAAAAACTATTCCGTGATCTAAATGAACAAACTATGTCAATGTATTTTTCATTAATTGAAAAATACGAAATGAAGAAATTGTACGATAAACACACTTATCTTATTATCGAACAAGTGTTACCCGAATTCACCGACACTATTACTGAAAAACAATGAAAATTCTATTGAATTTCTCAATTGGTTTTACAATCAACGACGACCAATCATTTCAAAATAATTCATTGTTTTTTGATTCCATGAAACTAAAAAAGAAAATTTACTTTGTTGCTCTATTCTTGATGAACAAATAATAAATCAATCGCAAACAAATAAAAAAAATGTTTAAAAATGATTTTTGATTGCCAAAATCTGATCTTTTCACTTTTATTTTCAAAAAAAGCGTACGTATGTGTTGTGTGTTATGGTTGATGATGATGATGATGATGATCTTTATTTTCGTTTCTTGTTCTCATATACAAATCAATCGACTAAATATATTCATTGTCAAACTACTTCATCGTCGAATGTAACTAATGACCGTTACTATGCATCTGCAGTGATGGCACAGTAATCTTTCATTTTTTTTTTGTTAAATTCAATGTGGTTGGCTATATTTTCAGTCATTTGTTATTTTCAATTTTGCTAATCATTTTTTTTGTCTGTTGTCACTGATTTCTTGCATATATATTTGTAGAAATATAAACTAATAACAACAGCGCCACTGCTGATGAATTGGTCATGAGTTTGAAATGAGGTGGATTTGAATAACCAGTATTGATGGCAAGTCCGATAAGCCTAATATAAGCAGTAGATTGGCGATTGAACGAGGCCTTTTGTTTGAATTCAATCATAATTGTTATTTTGGCTGCCATAGCCATCTTTATTATTTGTATAATTATACTTGTAATTGTCTATTTTAAAGACAACAATAAATGTGGTCTCTGGACCAAGTTATCCACAGCCTGAGCTGCGTCTTACTTTTACATATTTTATCAATATATTGTGTCTTAAATTTCAGTTTTTAAATTGTTTCTTAAAATGTTTTTCATCATCTACAATGGCAAGATCACCGATTGAAAGTATCGATTTTAAGTTATTTCAAGATGATTTCAAAAACATCGATCAAAAATTTCTACAATCAGTTGTTTCAATTTTCATTATTTTTAATTACGAAAAAAGTAAATTAAAAAAAGAATTTTTAATGATGACCGAAAAAGCTACATATGCATATGGTGAAGAAATATGCTCATGGCTATCGTTGAAACATGATATGACCAAACCACAACGAATATCACTTTTTAATGATTTTGGTCAACTAGGTCTTGGTGATGAAGAAGACCGAGACATACCCTATCTTGTTGCATTTTCTGATCCTGATTCAACAAGAATCAAAAATATTGTGGCTGGCGAAGATTATTCATTATTTTTATTCAAAAATGGTCAGGTTTGGGGATGTGGTTCTAATTACAATGGTGTACTTGGTCTTGGTGATACAGAGATTCGATCAACACCGACAAAAATACCGATTGAAAATGTAAAACAGATTGCATGTTCGAAATTCGACAGCTTTTTATTGGCAAATGATGGGTCATCGTATTATGCATGGGGAAAAGCCAAATATAGAAAATGGTCATCACCTAAAAGATTTGATGATCATCCGACGTCATTTGTAACTGCATCGGCAATGATTTTTCCATCACCACTATAGTGGTGAACTTGGTCTTGGTGATGAAAATAATCGATCAATTTTGACAAAAATACCGATTGAAAATGTGCAACAAATCGCATGTTCAATATTCAATTCATTTTCATTGGTGTACGATGGATCATCGTATTATGCATGGGGCGAAACCAAACATGACCCGAATTGGTCGTCACCTAGAAAATTGAATGATTCGCATTCATCATTTGCTTATGCATCAGTTCAGGTATTGGATTCACCACTCACATTTGGCCTCACATCAACAATATATGAATTCTGATCACATGATTCATTATCATACAAATCAATCCTCCGATTATTCGATAATCAAGATAATTATGATGTGAAATTCAAAATTGACAATGATATCAAGTCAGGCAAATTTTATCTAAAATCTGTATCGAAATATTATCGTCGAATGTTTTCCGGAAATTGGAGTGAAAATGACCAAGTGATCATCAACGATTATTCGTATGAAGCATACTATGCATATATCCGCATGTTACATACTGGAAAAATTCATATTAATCGTCAAAACATAACCGAACTTGTCGATCTGGCCAATTGTTATGGTGATGAAAGGTTGATGGAATATTGTCAAACATTCATACGGAGTGATTTGAATGCACAAACTATGACCACACATCTTCCATTAATTATCAAATACAAAATGAAGGAATTTTACTATGAACTAAGTCATATTGCTATCGAACAAGTGTTACCGACAATATTCGGCAAAACAATGAAAATTCTATTGAATTTCTCAATTGGTTTTACAATCATTCAACTACTCATTCAAAATAATTCATTGTTTTTTGATTCCATGAAACTAAAAATGAAAATTTACTTTTTTTTACTCTATTCTTGATTGACCAATAATAAATCAATTAATAATAAAAAAAATGTTTAAAAATGATTTTTGATTGCCAAACATTGATGATTGAATGTTAAATTGATCATTTCAATTTTCATTTTAGGTATTGTTATGATTTTCGTAAAATAACATGTGTTGTGTTATGGCTTTTCATATATTTTTTATTGCGCATATATATTTAGTTGTTAAAGCAAAGGGACAAATTCAGAAAAACTTGAATAAACATACAATACTCAGAAGTTCAAAAATATAACAAAAGATAGCACTAATAATGTTTCTCATCCAACATTAGTAATCTTTTATTTTATTTATTTTTTTTTTTTTTGGCTCAATTCAATGTGATGTCCTAAAATGAACATCGATTTTGAATTCTTTTTGAATTGGCAAGGAAGCGAAGAATTGGAATGGCAAAAACCAGCGTGAAAAAAACGTGGCCATGTGTCACAGACTTATTTTCAGGGCCCGATAAAAACTATGGACTCGTCCACCACTTTCGATCAAGAATGGTGGTAAATATGAGTAGCGAATGATCACCCGAACACATGGTCTATGTGACAAGTGGCGTGGTCAAAACGATTGGCAGTTGGACAATTGGGAAAATCATATAAAAGTCTATGCCACACAAGCAATCATCAAATCATCACCTCGAGTCATTTTTGCTGCCTTGCCATTTTAATTTACCACCATCATCATCACCACAAACATTTTGTTTTTTATTTTGCCAACACCTGTATTTTCATTTTTACAATATTAAATTTTCTTGTATTTTTAAATCTTTGCTGTGTGAATACGCATGTGTTAACTTTGTCCACCATGAACGCTATACATGACATACATATACAAAATACATGACGTCACGCAATTGTTGATCATTCCTTTCCACCGTCATTAATTCTCGCATATTCTCGTTGGTCAATATTTTTTGTCTATAATTTGAGTGTTTTTCATCACCGATAATGGCGAAATCACAGATTGATAATATCGATATTTATTTATTTCAAGATGACTTCAAAAACATCGATCAACAATTTCTTCAATCTGTTGTTTCAATTTTTAGCTTTTTCAATTTCAAAAAATCTTTTAGAAAACAATTTTTATTGATGACCAAAGACGCTACATATGCCTATGGTGAAGAAATATGCTCATCGTTTTCGTTAAAACATGATATGAGCAAACCACAACGGATATCACTTTTAAATGATGTCAAAATTGTTCAAGTAGATTATGGACGTAATTTTATTGCCATTCTAACTGATGATGGACAAGTATTTCTAGCCAGTGCTCCTAAAACTAAATGGAAAACAAAGCGAACATTACAATTGATTTCCAACGATAATGATCGTTTCAAGATGATTGCTTGTGGATGCTTGCATTTATTATTGCTACGACAAGATGGTCATGTATTCGCTATGGGTAATAATTGTTTTGGTCAAATAACTGGTAATGAAAGACTATCATATGAAAGTATGATCCAAATTGATAATCTAAAAATGTTAAGCTCATAGCTTGTGGAGGGGATCATAGTTTGTCAATAACTAATAAAGGAGAAATTTATTCATGGGGCCTTAATAGTTGTGGGCAATTAGGTCTTGGTGATGAAAACAAACGAAGCACCCCATGCCTTGTTTCATTTCCAAATGACGATTTAATCGATATCCGCATCAAAGATATTGTGGCTGGCCAACAACATTCATTATTTTTATTCGAAAATGGTCAGCTTTGGGGGTGTGGTTCTGATTATGATTGTCAACTTGGCCTTGGTGATTATTTTAAACGATTAACACCGACAAAAATACCGATTGAAAATGTACAACAAATTGCATGTTCGAAATTCGACAGCTTTTCATTGGCACATGATCGATCATCGTATTATGCATGGGGAAAAACCAAATATGGCAAATGGTCATCACCTAGAAAATTGGATGATTCCCATTCATCATTTGCTTCTGCATCGACAATGATTCTATCATCCCTCTAACATTTGGTCTCACATCAACAATCTATGTATTCGGATCACTTGATTCGATATCGTACCAATGCAAATCAATCATCAAATTATTCGATAATCAAGATAGTTATGATGTGGAATTTTTAATTGATAAAAAACGTATTAAGGCGAGTAAATGTTATCTCAAATCAGTATCCGAATATTATCGACGAATGTTTTCCGGTAATTGGAATGAAAATGATCAAGTAACCATCAACGATTATTCGTATGAAACATACTATGCATTTCTCTGCATGTTACATACGGGTAAAATTTATATTAATCTTCAAAACATAGCCGAACTTTTTGATCTGGCCAATTGTTATTGTGATAAAATGTTGATGAAATATTGTGAAACATTCATACGGAATGATTTGGATGAACAAACTATGTCAACATATCTTCCATTAATCAACAAATACGAAATGAAGGAATTGCATGCTAAACTTGCTAATATTAGCATTTAAAAAAATATTGCCCAAAATCGGTGACAATCTTCAACAAAACAATGAAAATTTTTTTAAAATTTCTTGACTAGTTTTACCACCAACAATCATTGATTTGTTAATAATTCCATTGTTTAAAAAATTAAAATTAAAATTTACTTTGATGAATAAATCAACAATGTCATAAATTAAATAGACAACAACGTTTCAACTTGAGTCGATAGGCTTGAATGGTTGAAATTAATTTTTAAAAATGTTCAAATTTATCTTGTTTTTTTTTTGTGTTTTCTTGTTTTGGTCGTCTGGTGTTAAATTTAAATAAAATCCAAGTTGAAATTCTTGTTATTTTTCCTTTTGTTTATTCTCAATTGTAATGATCACACCTCTTGGTCATCGTATTATCATCACACCTCACATCAATAATCCATGCATTCAAATATCGTACAAATCTCAATCGATCTGATCCAATTATTCGGTAATCAAGATGATCAAATTGTGATGTGGAATTTATAATTGACAAAAAAAATGTATTAAAGCGAGTAAATGTCAACTTAAATCTAATGTATTTTATTATCATCACTGATTCCTTGGATCATCAATAATTTTTTTCCATTTTTTCTTCATTTTATGTGTATAATGATGCTTACAGCGCCTTGGTTAATTTCATTTCAACACTACAATTGATTTTTTCTGCTACAGCCAGATGTCGCTAAAAGCATTCTCAAAAAGCACTGTTCAAAGGTATTAAAATTGGCCGTTGATTTATTTATTCGAGAAATAAGCAAAACAATCTGTAGTGAATGAAGTTATGCACGCCTTGTCAAATCATTTTTGCTAACTATCAGGTAATATTCCCAAATTGTCAATGTATCACATAGTTTTGTCATTTTTTTTTGTTGATCATTTCTTTTCCATCGTCACTAATTCTCACATATAGTTTGTCAATATTTTTTCTATGATTCGAGTGTTTTTTATCATCAATAATGGCAAGATTACCGAATGAAAATATCGATATTGAATTATTTCAAGATGATTTTAAATACATTGATCAAGAATTTCTCCCATCAGTTGTTTCGATTTGCAGTCTTTTTACTTACGTTGACCAAAAAGAATTTTTATTGATGACCGAAGAATCTACATATGCATATGGTGAAATAATATGCTCATGGTTATCGTTGAAACATGATAGGACCAAACCACAACAGATATCTTGTCTTGATGATATGAAAATTGTTCGTGTAGATTCAAGCCATTGTTTTGTTGCCATTCTAACTGATGATGGTCGAGTGTATCTTGCAAGCAATGATTCTAGTTGGAAGACGAATAATACTTTCCGATTAATCAACACCGGTAATGATTGTTTCAAGATGATTGCTTGTGGAGGGGAGCATTTATTATTGCTACGACAAGATGGTCATGTTTTCGCTATGGGTAATAATTGTTATGGTCAAATAACTGGAAATAATGAAAAATCATCCTATGAAAGTATGATCAATACTGGTATTGATAATGTTAAACTTATTGCTTGCGGAGTTGATCATAGTTTTTCAATAACTAATAAAGGAGAAATTTATTCCTGGGGCCTTAATAATTGGTATCAATTAGGTCTTGTTGATAAAAAAAACCGAAACACTCCATGTCTTGTTTTATTTCCAAATGATGATTCAACCCACATCAAAGATATTGTTGCTGGCCACCAACATTCATTATTTTTATTCGAAAATGGTCAACTTTGGGGATGTGGTTCTAATTTCTATGGTGAACTTGGTATTGATGATTGTATTGTATCAAAGTTGACAAAAATACCGATTGAAAATGTACAACAAATTAAATGTTCAAAATTCGACAGCTTTTCATTGGCATATGATGGATCATCGTACTATGCATGGGGCAAAACCAAATATGGCAAATGGTCATCACCTAAAAGATTGGATGATCATCCGACGTCATTTGTTGCTGCAGCGGCAATGATACGTCATATATCACACACAATCGGTTTAACATCAACAATTTATGTATTCGGATCACATGATTCATTATCATACAAATCAATCCTCCGATTATTCGATAATCAAGATAATTATGATGTGGAATTTATAATTGACAAAAAACGTATTAAAGCATGCAAATGTTATCTCAAATCTGCTTCGGAATATTATTGTCGAATGTTTTCAGGAAAATGGACTGAAAATGATCAAGTAAACATTGACGATTATTCATATGAAACATACTATGCATATCTACGTATGTTACATAATGGTAAAATTCATATTACTCGTCAAAACATAACCGAGCTTGTTGATCTAGCCAACTGTTATGGTGATAAAAGGTTGATGGAATATTGTAAAACATTCATTCGGAGTGTTCTAAATAAGCATACGTTAGGCATATATCATCCATTAATTGAAAAATACGAAATGAAGGAATTGTATGACAAACTTGCTCATCTTGATCAAAATCACCTACAATCTTCAACAAAACGAACAAAATTTTTTTAAATCTTTCTTGACTAGTTTCACCATCAACAACCATTCATTCCATAATGTTTTAAAAAAATCAAAAATTTACTTTCTCATTTTTCTTTTCAATTTTGATCAATAAATCGAATTATTAATTCAAATGACTTGCTTAGCTTATTTTTTTTTTTACCAGAACCATCCATATTGATAACAATGAAAAAACAATCAATTTTCATAATTAAATTCATCACACATCAACTGGCCATCGATAATGATAATAAACTAAATATATTCGCCGCTTTTCTTCAAATTGCCTCCTGAACAGCCGCTATTCGAAATATTTTTGTGAAATTTCGAGCAATTGTTCCTATCAACACAAAATACAATAATGTCATTTGAATTTGATACCTTCAGCCTCTAGAGGTCAAAGGGCAGAAAATTGTCACTTCTAACTGAGAAGAGGTATACAAAAATCGGCTGAAATAGCTATGCGATATACATGTGATGTCCTAAAATGGACATCGATTTTATTCTTTTTGAATTGGCAGGGAAGCGAAGAATTGGACTGGCAAAAACCAGCATGGAAAAAACGTGGCCATGAGTCAGGGACTTATTTTCAGGGCCCGAGAAAAACTTTGGACTCGTCCACCACTTTCGATCAAGGACGGTGGTAAATATGAGTAGCGAAAGATGACCCAAACACATGGTCTATGTGACAAGTGGCGTGGTCAAACAGATTGGCAGTTGGACGGTCCGAAAAACGGTTGGAAAAATCATATAAAAGTACATGCCACACAAGCAATCATCACCTCGGATCATTTTTGTTGGCTGGCCATTTTAATTTACCACCATCATTATCACCACAAACATTTTGTTTTTTATTTTTCCAACACCTGTATTTTCATCATTTTTACAATATTAAATTTTCTCATATTTTTAAATCTGTGTTGTGTGAATACGCATGTGTGTATGTTAACTTCGTCCGCTATTCATATACTCACGTCACACAATTGTTGATCATTTCTTTTCTGCTGTCACTAATTCTCGCATATTTTCGTTTGTCAATATTGTGTCTATAATTTGAGTGTTTTTCATCATCGATAATGGCAAGATCACCGACTGAAAGTATCGATATTGAGTTATTTCAAGATGATTTCAAAAACATCGATCAAGAATTTCTCCAATCAGTCATTTCGATTTTTAGCTTTTTTCCTTTAATATTCTATAAAATTCAATTTTTATTGATGACTAAAGACGCTACATATGCCTATGGTAAAGAAATATGCTCATGGTTATCTTTGGAAGATGATATGGAAGCTGATAGTATATGGGAGATGATAAATCATATGATCAAACCACAACGGATATCTTGTCTTGATGATATGAAAATTGTTCAAGTAGATTATGGCCGTGATTTTGTTGCCATTCTCACTGATGATGGACGAGTGTATCTTGCAAGTGATGATTCTAATTGGAAGACGAATAAAACATTGCGATTGATTTCCAACGATAATCATCGTTTCAAGATGATTGCTTGTGGACAGTATCATGTATTAATGCTACGAAAAGATGGTCATGTTTTCGCTATGGGTTGTAATAGTTGTGGTCAAATAACTGGTAATGAAAAATCATCATATGAAAGTATGGTCCACATTGATAAGCTAGAGAATGTCAAGCTCATAGTTTGTGGAATGAGTCATAATTTTTCATTAACTAATAATGGAGAAATTTATTCCTGGGGCAGTAATCATTGTGGTCAATTAGGTCTTGGTGATAACGAAGACCGAGACACCCCATGTCTTGTTGCATTTTCAAATGATGATTTGATCAATATCCGAATCAAAGATATTGTGGCTGGCCGAATATTTTCACTATTTTTATTTGAAAATGGTCAGCTTTGGGGTTGTGGTTCTAATAACAATGGTGAACTTGGTTTCGATTATGATTATCAACGATCAAAGTTAACAAAAATACCTATTGAAAATGTAAAACAAATTGTATGTTCAAAAGAACATAACTTTTCAATTGCACATGATGGATCATCGTACTATGCATGGGGCAGAGCCGAATGTGCCGAAAAGTTATATTTGAAAACGTCACCTGAAAAATTGAATGGTCATCCGACATCAATTGTAGCTGCATCGGCAATGATTCTATCATCAAAAATAACATTTGGTCTCAAATCAACAATCTATGTATTCGGGTCACATGATTCAATCTCGTACCAATGCAAATCAGTCAATCAATTATTCGATAATCAAGATAGTTATGATGTGGAATTTTCAATTGACAAAAAACATATCAAGGCATGCAAATGTTATCTCAAATCGGTATCGGAATATTATCGTTTAATGTTTTCCGGTAATTGGAGTGAAAACGACCAAGTAATCATCAACGATTATTCGTATGAAACATACTATGCCTACTTGCTTATGTTACATACTGGCGAAATTCAGATTAATCGTCAAAACATAACCGAGCTTGTTGATCTGGCCAATTGTTATGATGATGAAACTTTGATGAAATGTTGTGAAAAATTCATATGGAATGATCGGAATGAACAAACTATTCCCACATATCTTTCATTAATTAACAAATACGAAATGAAAGTATTGCATAATAAACTCAGAAATATGAAAAGATCACCGAATGAAAATATCGATATTGAGTTTTTTAAAAATGATTTCAAAAACATCAATCAAGAATTTCTCCAATCTGTCGTTTCGATTTTTAGCTTTTTTACTTTCAAAAATAATAAGGCCAAAAAACAATTTTTATTGATGACCAAAGAAGCTACATATGCATATGGTAAAAGAATATGCTCATGGTTATTGGAGGATTATATGGACAAACCAGAACGGATATCACGTTTAAATGGTGATAAAATTGTTCAAGCAGTTTATGGCCATGATTTTGTTGCCCTTCTAACTTATGATGGACGAGTGTATCTTGCAAGCGATGATAGTGAATGGGAGACGGATTACATTCGCCAATATGGCGTTAATCACAAACTTAAAACTTATTGGAATACAAATAAAAAATTACGATTGATTTCCAACGATAATGATCGTTTCAAGATGATTGCTTGTGGACACTACCATTTAGTATTGCTACGACAAGATGGTCATGTTTTCGCTATGGGCTATAATGGTTATAATCAAATACTGGCTACTGAAAGATTATCATACAAAAGTATGATCCACATCTATAAGCTAGAGAATGTCAAGCTCATAGCTTGTGGAAGGAGACATAGTGTATCAATAACTAATAATGGTGAAATTTATACCTGGGGCTGTAATGATGATGGTCGATTAGGTCTTGGTGATGAAAAAAAAAGAAACACCATATGTCTTGTTCCATTTCCAAATGATGATTTGATCAATATCCGAATCAAAGATATTGCGGCTGGCGACCGACATTCATTAGTTTTATTCGAAAATGGCCAGCTTTGGGGATTTGGTTCTAATAGAAATGGTGAACTTGGTCTTGGTGATGATATTAAACTATCAAATTTGACAAAAATACCGATTGAAAATGTACAACAAATCGCATGTTCATTATTCCATTTTTTTCATTGGCATATGATGGATCATCGTATTATGCATGGGGAAACACTAAATATGGCAAATGGTCATCACCTAGAAAATTGGATAATTCGCACTCATCATTTGCTTCTGCGTCGACAATGATTCTATCATCACCACTCACATTTGGTCTCACATCAACAATCGATGAATTTGAATCACATGATCCAATATCGTACCAATGCAAATCAATCATCCAATTATTCGATAATCAAGATAGTTATGATGTGGAATTTTTGATTGATAAAAAACGTATCAAGGCATGTAAATGTTATCTCAAATCTGTATCGGAATATTATCGTCGAATGTTTTCCGGTAATTGGATTAAAAAGGATCAAGTACCCATCCAGAATTATTCGTATGAAACATACTATGCATATGTACATATGTTACATACTGGTAAAATTCATATTAATCATCAAAACATAACCGAACTTGTTGATTTGGCCAATTGTTATAGTGATGATAGGTTGATGGAATATTGTGAAACATTCATACGGAATGATTTGGACGAACAAACTATGCCAACATATCTTCCATTAATTGAAAAATACGAAATGAAGGAATTGTGTGTCAAACTTGCTCATCTTGACCAAAATCTTCGATAACCTCTGGAAAACGTAGAAAATTTTTTTAAACTTTCATGATTATAGTTTTATCATCAACAATCATTCATTCGATAATAATTCCATTGTTTAAAAAAAATTAAAATTTTACTTTCTCATTTTTCTTTTCAATTTTGGTCAATAAATCGAATTATTAATTCAAATGAATTGCTTAGCTTATTTTTTTTTTTTTTTACCAGAACCATCCATATTGATAACAATGAAAAAACAATCAATTTTCATAATTAAATTTATCATTAATCAGCTTGAAAGTTGACCAGATACATTTCTGTAAACAATCGAAAACGAAACCACAAATTCGAGATTCAAAACAGCCAATAATGATCTTATTGGTGATTTTTTTTCTTATTGAATCAATTTCAATCTTGATCAGATTTTAATCAACGACAAAAGTATGTACAGTAAAAGCTCCTTATTTGCGCTTCCTTTATTCGCGGGTTAAAAAAATGTGACCCAATCCCTATATTCGCGGCTAAAAATTTCTTTATTCTTATTACATCCAAATACGATATAAACATATGTAAAACATTTAGAACTTGGAGACTGGAAGAATATATCTTTTCTATTGGACAATAAAAATTCAGACCTTTAACTGCTGGATATTGGATCAACATCGATACAATTTGTGTATTATCATCATAATTTTATCATATGATTTTAGGCAAAAACAAAAATATATATGAAATATGATCCTCGATTGTTGATCATTGGAAAGAACAAAAAAAAAAAAATTAATTTGAAAACATTCTCATCTAATTAGAAATAAATTAAATGATGATCGAAAAATCGAAAAAAAATTTATTTTAACAAAATTTCGTTTTTTAGAAATTATTTTGTAACAAACAAATCAGGCAACTTGTATGATGATGATGATGATTGAGGAAATTTGTAACAAATTGTAACAACAAAAAAATTATTCATTTCAACAATAAATTATGTTGTGTGTGTGTGTGTGGTCATCAATATGTCCAGTGTACACATTAAGTATTATATCACATTCATTTTTTTTCGACTTGAGATGAAAAATTGTTCAAAATAGAGGAGATGATGTATAATTATCAAATTTATCATATGTATTATAACAAATAGTTGAACCCATAGCCACTATAATCATAACAAATGTTGTCCATGTTGGTGATTCTAATTCCAATATCCGTACGAATGGTTTCAATAATAGCCACGTTAATATTAGACCAAAATGAAATGTATAAACACCATAAAGACCGATAAATGTTAATGTTAACATTAATAATGATATCATTAGATGAACACTTTTACTACGTGCATTTATTGTACCTTCACGATGATCTTCAAGTATTTCATGACAACAAGCAAGAATATAGAAAGAAATATAGCCTTTTATAATGAATATGCTTATACCAAATAATATGTATGATAAATAATGTACGGTTGTATTTGCCATTGAAAACATTCTATAAAAAGGAATGAATTTTTCAAAAAAAAACAATTAAAAATGAACATAATAAATGAAAAATAATCGACTTACTCGAATGATTCCAGTAATGATTGTTTTTGTTTCGGTTGTTGATTGAAATAATAATAATAATAATGTTCCAAATAAGCTTTCAATGTTTCTAGCCACATGATTGTTTTTTTTTATATCCTTTATTACAATCAAAAATTTAACAACAACAACAACAAAGTTAAAGTGATAGATATACGTACGTTTTATAAATGAGAGGAATTTGAATTTCGTTTCTTAATTAAAATTACGTTGATTGTTTGTGTGTGTATGTGTGTAACGATCCAATGAATGAATGGCACTAAAATGATACGATACACGATGATGATTTTTATATTTATCTAGGGGAAAAAAATACAAGTTTATCTGCTTAATCACGATGATGATGATGATTGTATAACGAATTTTAGTGTACCCATTACTCATATGATGACGACGATGTGTGTATCAATTAACAATCATCAATCAATTCAATTTAAAATATATATATCACATGTACGATTTTGATAACAAAAATATTAAACACTTGTGGATTCAATTAGATTTTTTTTTCCTGTAAAGCGTTGTATGGATTTTTTTTCGTGGATGTATTCTTATCATCAATGCAATCACTGTTACATCGATCATCATCATCGTCGTTGTTGTCGTCATAATCAATAATAAATTACAATCATCATTGCATTAAAAAAAACAAAACTAACAAACAATGATGATAAGATGACGATGATTATTAAAAAAAAATTCATTCAATGATGATGACAAACAAAATTCTTTAGAATGAGAATAAAAATAATAATGATGATGACGAAAGAATCTAGGTATATTCTCGTTTTTTTTCCTTAATGTAGATTTTGTTTTTTTTAATCAAAACATGTGATACAATCGGTAATTGTTTGTTGTATATATACATATTATATGAATTAATGTGCTGTAAATAATCAAAAAAAAAACAACAAACCAGTAATAATATCAAAGGCGGCAGTAGTATGAGCACAATAAAAAGTAAAGAAATCAAAATCTTGTTTTTTTTATTTATCATTCATAATTGCAATTTTATATTGTATAATTGTAAATCATTTATATGAGCGTCAAATATCAACAACAACAACGACGAAAAATTATTTTTTTCATACATATGAAACATGCATTTATGTTTACAAAAATTGTACATGTATATATATACATGCATAAACAATACACATGCTCGAAACGAATTGAATATCGCAAACACATTGCAATCACACACACACACATATAAATATAATATAACCATTGTGGCCATTACCCGTATACGTTATGTGTGAAACAAGAATTTTACTATTAAAAAAAAAAAAAAATACAGGTTGCCATAGTTTCAAATATACAATAAAATACGGTAAATTCCAATGTCAATTTGTGAATAACCAATTTGGAGAGAGAGAGAGAGAGATAAACAAAAACCTGGAATCAATAACATAATAACGGTATAATAACCTTTCAAAAAAAAAAAAAAATGTTTAAATCGATTGACGATCATAAAAAAATATATATATAGTTTGGGCGTGTGGTGTGTGTGTGTGATTCAAGGTTTTTCAACTTTAAACTTGAAAAAAAATTTTTAGAAAAAAAAACTATAGCAAAATACGATGTGTGTGTGTGTGTGTGTGTGTGTGTGTGTGTGTGTGTGTGTGTATGCATAAATGGATTCATGCCAATCACACAATGTGTTGATTGATCGATATGAACACAAAAAAAACCATCATCACATCCAAAAGAGACAATATCATCAAACACATCAAGAAAAAAAAACACTTAAGTTCAAAGTAAAATATATAACATTTTACATCAAATTGATGACCAGCCAGCCACCATCACAAGCCACCCGTTTTTTTACTTCCATTTATATATCGTTGATTTTTTTGTCATTTTTTTTCCTTATGGTATAGTATATATATATACCATTATCATATGTTATTGCTGAACAACATATTGTGAATCCTTCAAAATCTTTCTTGTGATAAAAAATACTGAATAAATGGAATGAAATGAACAATAATGTTGACTAGCGAACAAACGAACAAGGAAGCAAAACAACAACAACAACAACAACAACAACAAGAATAACAAGGATTGTTGTTGGTTATGAAATTCAAAACTGGATATACAACATGATGATATAAACACTAGGCTAGTTTTCAAGCTTGAAAAACAGTTTACAGTTTTGTGTCTGTGTGTGTGTGTGTGTGTGAGAGAAAGAGAGGTAAACGGCCTGAATTTTTTTTTCTGGTTACCAAATTTTTTTTTTTGTTATCAATAATGGTTATAGTTTGGTTTTTTGATAGATAGTGCAAATTGTAGTTCTTTCATTTGATTACCATTCAAAATGATAACGGTATTGAAAAGAATAATCTAAAGGTATAGATAGATAAGAGAGAGAGAGAATCATTTTTTTTTTATATATATACATGTGTGTGACCTTATTCTTTCATCATCATCATCATCATCATTTTTTTTCGTTTTCTCGTTCATTAAAAAAAAAAAAAATTTCATCTGCATTAAAATAATATAAAATACACCTGTGCATACGTATGTAGTATAATAGGTGGGTAGTTTGAGTAATGTTTTCAAAATCCTGTTCCAACCCGTTATATGTGTGTAATATATGTGGATGAATGTGACCACTAGCTATAGCTGTCTATTCAATGAAAAAAAAACCAACAACAACAAAAAGAGAAAACAAAGAAATAAAATAAAAAATTTTATCATCTAAATCTCATCGTGTTCTATACCTTTGTTTTCAACACTTCTTCATGTTGTTGTTGTTGTTGTCGTTGTTGCATTCTTATTTTAGTTTGTTTTTTTTTACTGTGTCGATATCCGGTTTTTTTTACATTGCTGAGCTCCATTCTTCTTCTTGTTTTTTTCGTTTGTATGTGGATGTAGATGATGCGTTTGAAAAGTATATGAAATTAAACATTGAAATAATAATCAACGAATAAACAGAAAATTCTGTTACTTTGTATGATTGTACGTTTCTTCAACAGACTTAATTATTAAAAACTAAATGGGACGACAAAAAGATGGATCAAAAATTGTTTTTGTTCAAGAACAAATTGCTACAGTGGTTCGACCACCACCACCATCACCATCACCACAACAACAAACGAATGTTGAAAATATTGAAAAAACGACCACCATCAACAAAATGAATAAGAATTCGATAATAACCACCATAATACCGATTGATTGTGATAATTTGGATAATGATGATAATAATAGTATGAATCAAAGAATCGTTCAATCATCCAATCAACTATTGATTGAAAGAAAAGAATCAAACAAAATATCAATTATGAATAATTCATTGGAAATAAATTTACCAATATGTAGAATTTGTCATTGTTCGAATGAAGATTTAGCTGAAACCATATCATTAAAATCACCATCATCAAATATGAAACATTTAAAATTGAATCTAAATTGTGATAAAATTAAAAATCGATTTAATAATGTTGATGATGATGATGATGATGATGATCCATTTAATTTGATTCAACCATGTTATTGTACAGGCACATTACAATATGTACATCATAATTGTTTACAACAATGGATTCGTTCATCTAATCATCGATATTGTGAACTTTGTAAATATAATTTTAAACTTAAAACCAAAAATAAACCATTATTTCAGGTAGGTGGCGCACCACTCTGTTAATAAATTGATTTGATAATATTATTTTCATTTTTTTGTTTTGTTTTGTTTTTTTTGTTTCAACACCAAGTGGGATTGTATGAATATGACCAATGGTGAACGGCGTAAACTTTTTTTACATATTACCTTTAATCTAATATCAATGATCTGTGTATTTTGGTCAATATATGTGATTGCAGAACATGCATCATTGGAACTATCTAATCGTTTGGGTTGGAAATTCTGGATCAAAATGGTGGTAAGTTATTCTATAATGTTCGAAAAATGGATCTAAAGTTTTGATTGATTTTTTGTGTCTCTGTGTGTCAACAGGTCATCACCATTGGTCTTATTTGTGGCATAATATTCATTGTATTTCAATTACGATTATATTTCTCAATATTATCACGTTGGAAACAATTTAATCAAATTGTAATTATTGAAAATGTTGGCAATAATAAGATGGAAAATCAACAACAACAACAGCAACAGCAACAATTTGACGATTTAATCAGAATCGAAAATCAAAATCAGAATAAATGATGCTCCAAAAAAAAAATTATTTCAACCATATATTTTCGGTTGGATTAAACTAGTCAAACCAAAACGAAATATTGTCACCGATTGATTGAAAATAGAAGCATATCATTTTTTCGGATTTTTTTTTTGTTTCATAACCCGTGAGACTCTTTGTCAATTTTATTTATATCAATTGAAAGAGATTGTTGAATGTCCAAAATCAAACACACCAAATACACACAGAACACCATTTTCATTATTTAAAATTCATCCAATATTTATACAGTTGGTTATCGACATACAAACATTCTTCTAGAATGCAATTGTTCGTAAATGACAATGTCATTAATAATAATGATAATAATGATCTTTAATGATGGCATTCGTGCTACAAATGATTAAAGAAATTGCAAAATTTTGCTTATATCTTTTTTTTTTTTGGTTGGAAATTGTCTAAATAATTCAGTTCATCATTCGAACAATCGTCATATATATTCATTATTATTGTATGTTAACCATGAAATAAATTCTCTGATTATCATTATGTTGAGCATTTTGATTACAAGCTATAAAAGGAAATGTTCCATTCCTTTTTTTTTTTATTTCAATAGTCGAAGAAATTATTCATCTTTTTTTAAAAAAAAAATTCAAAAAAATATATAAAAATTGATATACAAAATGTTCTGGAAAATTCATCAACTTTTTTATCGTCAATTGAAAGAAATCGTAGAATGTCGATATAATCGATGGTATCAAACAAAGCATACATTTGAAATTGTTTTACTTTCAATCGTTTCCATACGGATCATGTTGGACAATGATCAGTTATATGATGGATGAAACATTCATACAATATTGGACTATTGATCCATTCTGTTTCTATATAATAACATCATTTCGACAATTATATCGACAATATCTAATGTTTGCATTCATATTGACATTGTTGGGTATTTTAGGTAAAATTACATTCTTCTTTGCACGTGTGGATACGGACACATTTCGAACACCATACGAATTAGTTGTACATAATATGGAACAATATCAACATTGTAAACGACGAAAATCAGAAGTCGCACAAATGATGGAAGAAAATTTTAATGAAAATCTCAAAGATATGAATAAGGCAAGTCGTTTCATTCCAAACATTATTACTAGATTGTTTTGTCAATGTCAGACATTATGGCAAACATATATCATCATATATCCAATACAAATCGATCCAGTAGAATTGATGCAGATGATACCGTTAAAATCAAAACAAAGTGTTATGTTTAATGACCGTATTAAGATAATTAGATTATTAACGATTATTGATCCAATTATCATTACATTACATCTTGGACTTTGTAAGTGTTTGTGATGGTTAATGTAATTTCTTTAATTCCTAATATCTTTTCAGTTTCTATTGTTTTAGTTGTATTTTATGATTTCTATTTAACCGTCATAGCTCAGAATAAAAATTCATTTACAAAGTTTTTCGAACAATCGATTTTTTTATGATTACACATGGTCTTTTTGTTATCGTTCAATGTGGACTGTTCTTGTTATCATCATCTCTTGCTATTGGTATATTTATCAGAAGTCGATTGAATCGTCTGAATGACCAACTACATCGTATGGCTTTTGGTTGTCGAATACGTAATAGTCAAGCCATTTCGACCAAAAAACCACAAAAACCTTTGTTGAATCGAACAATACATTTTTGGATTGGATTTATCGCCAACATGTTCATACATGTGTGGATAGACTGTATTCTTATCAAGAATTATGGAGTAATGCCCTCTTTACTTATTTAATCATGAGCATACCATTCAATGTAATAGCCGTCTCTGGTTTAGTGGTCGAACAATTGACCTGGTTTGAAATGATTATTCAGTACATGATCATTGTTATTCATACTGCGATGACAATTGTGTCGTTGTTGCAGTTTTCGCGACAAACAAGGCTGCTGCATGAAGCAAAGTTATATCTTGTTCCAATCATACAGTCGATCGTGATAATCCACAGACCTCCAATCGCTATCGATTGTATTTCAACGAAAACTTTGCGATTAAAATTGAAATATGAAGATCTTTACAATCGCTTGACACACCGCCGAAAATACGGTCCATATGTTTCGACGGTTGGTGTGGTGACCAACATGTTTATATTTGATGTAAATTATAATCTAATTTTTTTTTTTAATAATTAACTTAATCATTTTATTTTCCTATACAAATATAGCTTTTTACCACCTATATCGGCGTATTTATTTTTGTATCCACTCATATTCAGTCACTAATTTCAATAGGAAAGACTTGAAGTAGTAATTCAACTATTAACAATACATATATTTGTTCAAAAAAATGATTAAACACACAAATCAAACGAGAAGCATTCATTCATCTAATCCAATATAATAAATCATTTGATGATTACTTTTAGATTTGAATTTTGTAAAAAAATTTTTATTTGTTCAAAATGAATAATGGTAAATGAATCAAAAGAAAAAGATCCTTATATTGAGTGAAAAAAATCGAGAAATTCTGTGTTTGTAAATATAGTAATAATAATGTCAAGTGTTGTATACAAAAATAGTGAATAAAAAAATTTTTTTTTCTTTTGATTTTTGGCAAAAACATCATCATCCATCCAGAATTTTACCTATCCACAACAGTGTAACCAAATTTTTTTTCAAAAAAAAAAGTTATCGATTAATAGAAGGGTGTGTGTGGGTGTATGTTTGTTTGTATATTTGTGTATAAGAGAAATTGATGTTTTCGTAAATACAACAACAACGGTAATTGTCAGTTTTCGGAATTTTTTTTTTTTTTTTTTGTTTGGCAGCGAATTGATTTTGAGGAAAGAATTGAAAAACAATTCTGTTTTCGTTTTTGATATAGATTGCGTAATGTCTTGAATTATATAATGAAAAAAAAGGATACAAAAAAACAAAAAGAATTCAGACTAGAATTACAATATGTTAAAATGTAGAAGAAGAAAAAAAAGAAGACGTTTTGATTTTGTTTTGTTGCTGTTTGTTTGTTTGTTTGTTTATGTGTTTGAGAAATGAATAATAATCAGAAACAATCAATCAGAAAAGAAAAACAAAAATAAAAAAAAGAAAAGAAAAGAATCAATGAATCAAAAAAAAGATTGCAAATTATAAAGAAAAAATAAATAGAATGGAAAAAATTATCTAAAATCTGTCACACAGTTAACAGTGTGTGTGTGTGATGTGTGTAATTGTGGTCAAATTAAATGGAACAAAATCAAAATCAGTAATAATATATATAGTTTGGGTGATTTCGTAATTTTCATTTTTTTTTTTTTTTTGGAATTTTTTTTTCGTTTTTGTTTTGTTTTACTCATCGATATAATTATTATAATGATAATTTAATGTATATTTAGCCTTGGTGATCATCCAATCAATTTATTATAATCATCCATTGATTGATTAATATGCAAATGAATTTTATAAAAAAAAAATTTTTTTTCTCCCATATGAATTCCAGTATTCCAGTATATATATAGTGTAGTGTTCAAGTGGATTTCAAATCGAATGTTTGTGATGAAAAAGGAAAAAATTCGTTCATATTCGATATATTTATATTGATGGATTGATGTAGGTTTTTTTTTCGCTTTGATTTTTGTTTTTTTTTTTTTTTTTGATGAATAAATGTGGATGAATGAGCGACATTAATATAATTATAAGAAAGATAAGGCACAATAGTTTCATCATCAATAAATTGATGTCTGTATTCGAATGTTTTTCTTGGATTTTTAAATTAATTATAGCCATATTATTTATATATAATTATAATTCATATGATGATTAAAAACGATTATAGAATAGATAGATTAATACGATGAAAATTCAAATACAAAACACACACAAAGACACAACCACACGAATAGCTCGTTCGGAAATTGATTTTTCATATTAGGCCAATCATGATGATATTCGATTCATGGATTATAATGAAATGAGATTTTTCTGTATTTTTTTTTTTTTTTTTTCTTTTGGTTTTTTTTCTCAATGATAATGATGTTCATTTTTTTTTACTGATGCTTTTCAATGATCGTTTTTTTTTTTTTTTTGGTTGCATACGAAAAATGATTGCCATGTGAATAGGTATGTATATCATGATTTCATATATATTACTGGTGTATGAGAATATTTCGATTATTTTCCAATGAGGTATTCTTTGTTATGATGATTATGATGATGATGATGGTCGCTTTCAATCATGATCATCATGATCATCGTCATTTTTGTTTCATGATCATGAATCGAAAAGAACAATAATCAGGACCAGAAAAAAGATCAAAGTTAGTGTATCTTGTATTCATCATCATGATAGAGGTTATTTTTGTTTTGTTTTGTTTCATTCAAAGTGGTGGTGGCCGTGGATATGTTTTATGTATTTCAGGTGAATATTGTGTTACAGCAATCAAAAAAGACAATAGGCCAGCCAATGCAATACTAGTATAAAATTTTATTGATGAATATGGTGAAGAATTATTATTTTGGCAATTATGGCCACATTGACAAACAGTTGTAATAGTGGCCGATGTTGATTGTGTTGATTGAGTCGATACCGATGATCCAATAATGTTTGATGATTTTTTCATCATTAATGGTGATGGTGATCGTCTGGCCATAATATCATCAATATTATTTTCAAATTTTCTTATCGAACGATTCGGTTTGATTTTGATTGTCGGTATTGTTGCTTTTGAATCTTTACATTTTTTATTCGTTGATGATTTTGGTGTTGGTGATGGTGGACAAGACATTGGCTCACATGATGAATCAATCATCTGTTTCGAACGTGTCTCTGTGCATTTATTTTGTTTTGTTACGCTTCTAGCATAGATTTCATCATCTTTTTCATCATTGTTATTGTTACCCATTTGAAGTAGTTCATCAATAACTTGACATTCTTTATCCAAAAATGGTATTGGTGATGTAGCAGTACAAGCGTCAGCTTTTTCCACAACCATAACATTTACAATTGGTTGTTGTTGCAGTTGTTCGTCACCAAAGGCTTCGATTTCCGGTTTTTCAATTACAACAGCCGGTTTTTGATCTATAGTTTATTTATTGAAAAAGGAAATAAATTATTTCAAATTAAATTTTTTTTCTTTTCTAATAATTACCACGAATATCCGTATCAGTTAAATCCAATTCATTATTAATCCATGATTCATAATTTTCACCAAATTCCGTTAGTTTACGTATAATGTTTTCATTATCATCATAATTTAAATCTTCATTACTAAAATGATCGCAAAAGAATGGTGTCTGATAATAATCCCATGCAGTCCAATCAGCATGATAGCTCCATGGTCGATTACGATTACTTGTTCGTGTTCGTCGTCGACGTACATGACGTTTTTTTGATGATTTCTGTTGACTACTTTGATGATCGGATGAATGTGGTTGAGCCTAAATATGTGGGTGATGAGAGAAAAAAATGTCAACAACTATGAACTCAAAATCAAATACAAATATTGGAATGAGTAAACAGGAATTAATTTGATCAAACACATATCCATCTATATTTTCATCATTAATGATGAGGGAAGAAAAAGTTTATTTTCATAGCAGACAAAACATCGTAATGGTAAAATTCATTAAATTTCATTAGACAACAATCTAATTACTGATTGATTCATTTCATATGGTATTAAAATTATCAATATAAATCTTCTGGTTAATTTATTTGCTTCAAACACACAAACAAAGATTGATTATCGTAAAACAAACAAACATTTTATTCATTATTCCATTTGACACATTTTATTTCATCATTTCAATGAATAAAGAAAAAATGGCCAAACCATCAACATTCAACAACTTTGGATCATGACCGTTCCTATTTTTTTTTCTCGTTTCGTTTTGTTTTCACCTGTCCTGTACTGAAAGTGAAAAAAAAATGTTTATTTTTGGGTTCGATTTTTTTTTTTACTATTTATTCCATTTTCTTTTCTCCACTTTCATAAAGAAAATGTATTCAAGCCTGAAAATTTTTATATCAAAAAATAAAATGTAAATGTTAGCGAGAAAAAAAAACTAGAAAAACTTTGCACATTCACAATGCAATGATGAAAGTTTTTGTAATGTTTTTTTTTCGATATAAAAATGGTATATATATTCAACAGGTTAGATTCATGACAAGCCATAGAGAGTGAAAGAGATTGAGAACGAAAAATTTGCTTTTTTCGGATACCAAAAAAAAAAAAAAAATCACGGGGCAATTGTTGTTGTTTTTCTATGAAGGGAAAAAAATTAGATTTAAAATAATCCGTATGGCGAGAAAATGAAAATTTTATTTTTTGTTTCTGTTTTTTTGTTGTTGCCCATAGATTAGGATTATGATCAGTTTAAAAAATGAAGAAGAAAAAAATCTCGATCACATCATATTAGCATAAAAGAAAAAATTTCATTTATGGAAATTTTTTTTTTTTTTTAATTTTCGTTCGCATTTTCTCACTTATCTATGATAAATGGATATAGAAAAAAAGTGTATTGACCGGGGTAATATGGTTCAAATGGAATCAACAATCAACTAACCTCAATTGCATCGCTCATATCTGCATCACTCGAATATCCGATATCTTTCTGTATGATTTCATACTTCACTACTGCTACTGCTGCTGCTCCGGTTGCTGCTGCTGCTGATGTTGACGATGATGATGATGATGATGATATTGTTGAATGATCCATTGATGAACTGAATACACCGGAATCGGCACCTGGTGAACCGCTACCACCATCTAAACTATCTCTTGTATCACATAATGATAATGATAAATCTGCTTTTGATTGTTGTTCCATCATATTATTGGCCATTTGTGATTGATTTTTAGTTATACTTGTACTTGTCTGAACACGACGATTCTGTATAATGACTGATGATCCACCTGTTCCGATAGATTTAAGCTCTACTTTTTTAATTGATCCAACAGAAGAAGAATTTGGTGATGATGATGAGGCAACAACGGCAGCATAGGACGGATTAAAGCTCGAAACAATTAAATGACGAGGATTATAAGGTGGTGGTGGTGGTGGTGTTGGTGGAACTGTTTGTTTTGGTGATTTGATATTAACATTTTTATCATTATGATGATGACCAAATAAAATATTTCGATATGAATGATTCAAGGCCGGTTGTTTTGATTTTGTATCAATGCTATCTGTTGAAAAAATTTGCCGATAATGATGATAATGTTGTTGATGTTGCTGCTGTTGTTGTTGTTGTTGTTGTGATACAATCAACTTTGATGATGATAATGGCTTCGATCGATCTGCAACATTGATTTCATTCAATAGGCTTTTATTGTTCCTGCGTGAGTGAATGTGTGTCGCAATATGATATTGTTCCAACAAATAACAAAGAGAAAAAAAACAAAAAAAATGAATTAAAAGATGATGATAATTTTAATTTGATAATCAAATCAATCGAAAAAAATGGGCGTTTTTTTGATTGTTTCAAAGGTAAGCTTAATACACACACACACACACACACACGCACACAAAGAGGATTAAAGCATGAGAGAGCCAATCCTTTTTTCCAAAATTTTCCTAAATGGCCATCAATCAAATTTGATCAAGTAGGTAAAAAAAATGAATGAATGTACAACAACACCTTCATTATAATGTTGAATGTGGAAAAAAAATATGAGAAAAAAACTCAAAGAAAATCAAGTTTTTCCAATTAATCCGATTCAAGATTTAGGAATACAAAGATAGATAAATGCGGTAATAACTTGATTTGAACACAATGAATCGAATCGAATGAAAATGAAAAAAAAACTGTCGGATATTCGGATAGTGTCAATCTTAAATCGATTTTGGTATCCAAAAAAAAAAAAAACAAAAAAAAAAATCGATTGAAAATGATTGATTGATAGAAGTGTCTGAATAAAATGAGAAAAAGAGCTAGATGAATGGAATGGAATAATAAAATATTCAAAGATGAAGAAAAAAAAATCGTAATTCGTAATCAACAATGTCAAAATATCATCCTCATTCATTCATTATTATTGTTACAACGACAATGATGATTATTATGATGATGAATCTAAAATAATGACAAGAGAATCATCAAATGTTTAAAAGCATAAAAAAAACAAGCGGAAATTATAATCAGGAAATGAAATTTCAAATGTAAAAAAAACGATCAAACGATCGATTGATGATGATAAAACAAATAGAAAAAAAAGGAATGAATGAATGAATGAAAATCGATCAATTTGATTGACCAGACACACACAAGAAAAGCTGTCCAGGAACTTGGCCAATGATAATGATGATGTTGTTGTACACATTCAAACACATGACCACATGGTACTTGAGAAATACAACAACAACAACAACAACAAAACGATACCTACTATCTGATTCAAATTACACATCAGGATCTGTTGTGTGAAACTCAAAAATCGATAAGATTTTATTGATCTAACTTGTGATTGGAATAAGGACTTTTGAAAAGAAAGAAAAAAAAAATTTTTCAAACAAAATCCTTGGTTGGTCGTGGGAAAAATTACTAATTTTTTTTCTCTTGTCATTTTTTTTGGTCCGTAAATATACACTCTTTACAAGTGTGTGTGTGCAGTGCACGCACAGCAGGTGAAATTTAAAAAACAAAACTTACACAAAATAATGACGTGGACAACGTTTGCCTGAATGTTTCTGCAGAATGGTTAAATATTCCAATGATTTTAGCCAAAGATTTAGACATCGATCTTTTTGTTGTTTAATTGAACGTAATAGGGTGGTTGATGTTTTTGTTGATGTTGTTGATGATAATGAACATAATTCATCACCTGCACCAGCACCATTGATAGTGGCCAATCCAATAGTAGCCGTATTATTATTATTTCCACCAGATTTTGTTAATTGATTAATATTTTTGAAAAATTGATGTGTTATCTTTTCAAATTCATTTTGATAAGCCTAAATCAAAAAAAGAAAATAAATCAAAAATTTAATAAAGTAAATTGATAAAACAAAATAAATCAAAACAAGTAAACGTCAACAGCAACACAAAAATTCGTTCCAGAAGTTTGAAATTGAAATGAAAATTTTTGTTTTGTTTTGTTTTGTTTACTACTCGCATGGATATCAAAAAAAAATCAACAACGAATACCACAGATGGTCATTATTTAGATTTTGGTTTTCCTGTGTGTGTGTGTGTGTTTTGAAGTGGGTGTAGTGAAATACTATCAGCCCAGAAACCAAATGACGTTGTTTTTTCATGATGACAATGAAAAAAAAAATTTTTTTTTTCATGACTTGCCCATTGAAATAGGCAACAGAAACAACAGTAAAGATTAAAGATACAATGGGTCAAAGTTCAACACATGTATGCATGTTGTTTTCAACATTATTCTAATGGATGAATAAACCAAAAAAAAAAGAGAGAGAGAGAGAGATAGAAGCGGATGTTGAATATCCGGACAATGAACCAGAAAATTTTTTTTTTTATTATAATTGAAAAGGAATAGTGAATAGAAGACTTAATTGATCAAAATTTACGACAAATTTAATTGAGTTCATCGTCGTCATTATCATTATCATCATCATCATCCAATTCAATTCAAATCAATTAAATTTAATCATGATTTTTGTTACAATTTTTTAGTCACATAGTGAGATGGAGAAAAATCTATAAAACGTGTGTGTGTGTGTGTGTGTGTGTGTATTATCAAATTTAAATTGGATGCACGTGCATAATAATTGAAGCAAAAACGACACAGAAAAAAACGGAAATGATCATCATATAAATGTTTACTCTGTATGTATGTGAATAAAACCATAATCATCATGTGAACAAATCAAATGAATGAGATATTTGAATTGAAGCAAGAAAAAAAAAAGAAAATTGGTCAATCGACTAATGGCAAAACATTTTTTTTTACATAGGTGGGAATTTAGTTTAAGTCTTTTTTTTTCTTCTTCTTGAATGAAAATAGAATGGAAAAATGGAAACCCTTCGTCTTCGTCAGTAGTAGTGTATAGATAGTAACGATCATTAACACTGGTCTTGGAATATATAAATTTTATTGTTTTTCAGAAATGGTAATCAAAAAAAAAAAAAAATTCAACTACAGCAAGATTTGTTTGACCTAGATAGAATATTTTTTTTCCATTTCATTTCATTCCTTTTTTTTTTTTTTTTTGATTCATTTCCATTTGTTTTCAACAGACCTAACCAATTGTTGATTGATTATGCTGATGATGGTGATGGTGATGATCAAAAAAAAAAAAACAATAGATTTGAACAGCAAATTGATTCAGATCATTATCATCATCATCATCATCATCATTGGAAAAAAAAGAAAGAACAAAGAAAAATAGGTGAAACGAATAATCATCACAATATATCAGTGTGTTGTTCATAACTAACGTAACCCGGTGAAAATTTAACAAAAAAAAAAAATAGAAAACCAGTAGTTAAATTTAGATTCAAAAATCTTTTGAATTTAAATCTTTTTTTCATATCATAATCATATTTATTGATTGATGAATGATTATAAATTATGCATGTGTGTGTGTGTGTGTGTGTGTGTGTGGAACTGTTGGCCAAATTTTTATGCACATCATAAAATGTGTGTGTATTGAAAAAAAAACACTGAAAAGTTTCTTTTTCCCTTTGGGCGCCAAAAATTTGAAAAAAAACCAAGTTATTATGATGATGATGATGATAATGGTAATGGCTACTTAAGATGTAAACCAATTTTTTTTCTGGGTCGGGTCATTGGTATGAACATCATCATAAGCATCGTAACAAAAAAATATGATAATTACACAATCGTCATTAGCATTAAAATGATGATAAAATTGCCTTTAATCAATTCATTCAGCTGATGATTTGGGCAACAACAAAAAAAAAATTCACTACAAATGTTTAATTAACACATTTGTAAATTTCATGAAAATTATTTTTCCCTGTTCTGATTCATATCAGTTACAAATAATAACCAAAAACGGACCTTGAAATTATGTCAATTGCCCGAATATGTACAGACAGACAGAAAAAAAAATTTTCGATGAATATCAACAAATTAGTATTTGCATAAGACTGACCATTTTTTTTTGTATTTGTATTTGTATTTGACTTTATTCAAATTTATTAGTTCATGTGTGTGTGTATGTGTGTGGCCAATGGCCATCGATAGATAATGAGATGATTATTCATTCAAAAAAGTAAAAAAAAACAAAATCAAACATGTCATATACTGATTTGTATAAATATTGCTGTTATGTTGATATTATCCTATTAGGACATTCAATTTTTCTAATTAGACATTTTTTTCCAGTCTTTTCAAAAAGATAATTATTAGATAGCCATACAATGTTGATCAGGTAATGATCAAATTTTTATATCTGATTACTAATCTGACAATCTTATTTTGCCAAATTCAAACATAAGGTCAAAACCGGATAACGGTGAATAAGTTCAAAGTTCAAATCAGGGCAAAGAGAGAGAGAGAGATGAATATTGACCCGAAAAAAAAATCGATAAACCCGAAAGCGAGAAAAAAAATCTATAGATTAGATTGATAGATATAGGTTGGAAAAAAAATAATTGGTCTATTCTCTATGTATAAAGAAAAAAAAATGGAATAATTGCATCAAAATGATTATAATGATCATCATCATAATCTTTGGGTTATATAATTATCATCATCATCATCATCATCATCAGCGACCACAAATCTGGGTTATTAGACCAACGAAATAATAATAATAATAATAAATCCAAAAAAAAATGTCGATTTCAAATGATGTGACGAGCAAAAGAAAAAAATACAGTTTAAAATCAATGATGATAAATGAGGGTCATCACTGCTACTACTACTACGCCCACACGACCTATGTGGATGATTTGACCAATCAACCGTGGATAGGTGAAAATTTTTGTTGGTGGTCAAGTCACCAATATTTTATTTAAAAAAAATTTTTTAAACAACAAAAACAATAATACAAAAGGTGTGTCCATTTTGTGGTCTAAAAAAAAAGTATTTATCCCATTGTTACAGAAGCCTAAAGGCTTTTGGATTTGGAAATTTCTCAAGGTGAAACCCTTTTCTTTTCTTATTCATTAAATTATATAAAAAATATAATGATGGTATCCATGGATAATTGTGGATTTTGTAATTTTCGTATGACCATCATCATCATCAAAGGGGCCACCCGTCAACATCGTCATTTGACCACTTGATGATGATGATCATCATCATTTTATCTAAAAATAGGATTAATATGGTATTAAATCCATTCATTACCCGGTTATTCAAGGATGAAAAATATTATTAATTACCCGATGATATTCACGGTAGAAAAAAAAATGATGATGATGATGATGATGATGACAATGTCATTATTACCTGGGTTATTATTATTACATATGAATGATAATCGGTTCGTTTTGAAATCCTTTTTTTTTTGATGATTTGAAATTTTTTTGTTTTGTTTTCAATAACAAAATTATAAATGGTCATGAAAACAATGAAAAAAAAAATTGAATAGAAAAAAGATCATTTTGTTTTTGGACATTCATAAATGACGATCAAATGGTGTTGATGATGATGATGGATTTGAATTCGAATATTTAAAAAAAATTGGGACAAAAGGTGACAATAACAACAACAACAACAAAAAACCAGCTTCAAATAGAAAACTATTTCAATTTTACCATCAAAATGATGATGATTATAAAAAAAAAATAAAATTAAAATTTTTATTATATTCAAATGAGATGATATTCAGATTAGGCGAGATTGTTTTTTTCCATTCGTTTGTTTGTTTGTCTGTTTGTTGTTGTTGAATGGAAAAAAACAAAAACAACAACAACAAAAAAAAATCTAGGAAGAAACATCATCACCATTATCATTATATTCCATGTTTGTTCATCACCATCATCATCATCATCGTTTATAACGGAACAAAGGTCAAAGAAGATGAAAAAAAAGCTATTCATCCGAATCCACCCAGTCAAACAACAACAACAACAAAAACGGGCGACATTAAAAAACAATGGAAATTCTTTATGTCATATGGTAAGTCACACACACACACACACAAAAAAAAACAAAAAAGAAAAAACCATTGCAATTTGACCTTTGTTCCCTATACTACTACTATAGAAATGTAATTGAGTTTATTTTTTCCAGAAAAAAAATGAAATAAAATTTTAATGCTCGAGACTTTACACAAAAACATTGAATTTGATGAAATCCTTTTGATGATCATGATGATGATGAGAATGGTGAATGATGAATTGAATGAATGAATGAATGAATGAAAAATCGGGGTGATCCCATCATTAATCCATAATATATACTGAGATTAAAAAAAAGACAATATTTTTTTTCAGTCTGCTTACTACGACAATATGAATTTGCTCTGTCATCATCATTATCATCATCCATGTGTTGTAGTCACAACAACAAAAATATAATCATCCATTTTAGATTCAGCAGCCAAAATGCCATTATAATAATCATCAAAATGTATGGATAGATGTGTTCGCCCATCATCATCATCCATCGTTCATCATGAACATTTACATTTTCGTTCTCTCTCTTTCTCTCGATCGTTTTTTTTGTGTCCGAAACGTTGATATAGTGGTCATCATCATCAACATAACAATCATCACATCTACTTTATTATAGCCAACTTAAAGTAGGAATACATTGAATAATCAAACAAACATCTGAAAAAAAAATTCATTCGAAATCGAATATGAAACAAACAAACAAACACACACACACACACACACAGATATATCTGTCTAAAGCTGTATTGAATTTTTAGTCTTCGACTTGTTGTTGTTGTTGTTGATGATGATGATGATTATGACCTAGATAGGATCCTTGGAGTGTTGTTTGTTGTTGTTGTTGTCTATTTAAGAGTAGAACAACAACAACAACAACAACTAAAATAAAGAC